CGGTAGGTAAAAGAGCAAAAAAAGGTGGCAGGTCAAGCTGGCCCAGCGGTTGGGTCGAGTCGACTTCTAAGACCGGCTGTTAAGTCGATCCATAACCTCGTAGCCGTTGTAGCCGCATTTCCGTGGTCGATATCGTATAGTTGATATGCTCTGCTGTCTCGATGCGCTTGACAAAGCCACCAGGTAATTATAAGATAAGAATAGGAAAGGTAGAAATAAAGGAGGAAAAATATGCTCCTCTCCTTTTTTTTTGGTGAACATCAACGTCATGCCTCATTTAAAGAACCCGCAAGAAAGTAAGCTACCAGACTTCACGGACATTCTCCACACGCTGCTGTTCTTCATCATGTAAACTGCCTCTATCCTCATGCATGATCTCGACGGAGTTGGAGATCATGATGCCTCGGGCTGGTAGGGGCTCCTGGGGTTCGTGCTCTGTTGAGTTGAAGGTCTTGAGATCATGCATCTTGACATCGTCGTGCATAATACGTTCATCGCTGCCATTGAGGGTGAAGCTGGTCGTGATGTCACTCTGGGGCTGTCGACGGCCCTTACTCCGGTTATTGTTGTTGTTGTTGTAGTACGAGTTGCCTCCGTGGGGGGTGCCGCCGATGGTCTGAAGCCCCGGGGTTTTGTAGCTGGACTTCTTCTGGGTTGAAAAGAGCTTGGAAAACCACGGAGAGAGCATAGCACGGATAAGAGGGAAGATCATGGGCAAGTTGGTCACCATGACAGCGACGAAGGCCTCTCGTACTCCCCATGCGCCAGCAAGTTGTGCGCCATGCACGGGGTTCTACCTTGTTAGTACCTTTGACGTAAAATTTGTATATATATACATATATAGGGGGTACATCGAATACTTACTACAAGAACGAAGATGCTCTTGAGACACGCGCAGACAAGGACAAAGATACCTGCACCGAGCACAATGCTGGCTGCTATCTTCTTGATCATCCGCAGGGTCGAGCGCCACAGCATGGGTAGGGGAATCAGTATCAGATAGATGTCAGTAATAATGTTGGCGGCGAATGAGACCCAGACGACGGGCTTGGACACTGCAGGCTGGCATGCATCTAAGACCGGCATTAGCTATATATGCATAATAGCATAGCAAAGGTAATAATGGAGCAAATAACGCACTGCCTGGGTTTGGATATATCTGCCAGTACTTGTGGAGGGGCCTGCAGGAGAGGAAGATGGTGAGCAGCGAGGCCATACAGGTGCCCGCGACGAGGCCAAAGCCGATGAAAATCTGCAGGCGGTACGTTCCCCCAACGCCCTCGGTCAGCCTGATATAGAACGCCAGCATCGAGAACTTGAGCATCGAGATGAGCCAGGTGTACGTCGTCCAGCCGGCCAGCTGAATCTTCGACCCGGTGACCCTATATTCGCCCGTCAGTCCCCCTGTCTGTCTTGTGTCTCTCCGCCGCTCCCCTTTCCAAAAAAAAAAAAAAAAAACCCCGGCTGTGCCAACTCACCTGAAGCCATACTCGATGCTGTTGACCGGCAGGGCAGCCCGCTCCGAGTCCAGCTTGAAGTTGTTGGCCAGGCCGTGGGCCTTGGTGCCGACATGGTAGCCCAGCGTCGACTGCGCGGCATACAAGACCTGCAGAGGAACAACAACATGGATGGTCAGCGCTTCTTTTGTTCCTGCTATCGACCGGGGGACGGACGTCACTCCATCGTCCACCACGCAAAAAGAAAAACAACAACAACAACAACAGCCACACAAAACAGACGGCGGCCGGTGCCGTGACTAACCAAAGCTACAAGCACCAGAAAGTCGTCTGGCCGCAGGTTCCGGACGCCGACGGCGTGTATACGTGCATAGATCCTCAGCATCGTCGTCGTGAAGCCGATGGCGAAGAGCGTCCATATCTCGATCGTGGCCTTGCGACCAGCTTCCTGGGCCGCAGCCACCTCGGCCGGGCTGGTTGGCAACATGATATTATTCGATATAATACTATAGCAGAGCGCGGGACGGGGTGGTCGGACAGGCGCAAAAGTGATAGATCGAAGCAGTCTCCCAATTCAATGGCTATGCATCGTCGGGAGCAGGTTGCTCACAAAGGTCGAGATTCTGTCCAGGGAAGAGGGATTGAAATGCAGGCCGGAGGAGAGTACAGGATATTGCCAGGCATTCAACCAGGCAAGCAATGCAGGCAAGCAATGCAGGCAAGCAAGCAGAATGGACCACGAAAATGCCACAGAAGGAGAACGAGGACCTGAGTTTTTATGAGACGCAGGCAGAGAACGTATTCTGGCTGTATCCGGGATCCCCTGCCGTCTGATCGCCCGAGCCCTGGTTGCATTTCTTAGTAGTACGTGAACTGCCAGAGAGGCCGAGGATACGAGCTCGAAAATCTACAAACACCCAGCAGCAGAACTAGTTAGTGCGACCTGACTGCCACGGACGGTCCTGAAGGCAAAACATGACGGAGCACATGGCAAAAAGGAAAGAAAAACAAACGGCCAGTCTGGGCTGTGGCCAATAAGTACGGACCCTGAGACCAGATAGATGGGCCGTCCAGTTATGTCCATCTCTGGGGGTTCCATCCACCATTCGTGGGTGCAAGCGTGAGCCCTCCCAGAATATCATTAATTATTATACTTCGAGAGTGGAGATAGACCCTTCTTTTGGATTTCCAAATGGCCCATTTTTCGAAATCCAGGGGTACAGGGGTCCGGGATGATGGTATTTTACCATTATTATTTGCTGATGGGCTCACCAGACCACCACCCCCTGAAGCCCCGGTCTATATTTGACGATACTAACCTCTTTGCCGCGCTGCCATGCCGCCTTGCTCTCTGGTCTGCACCTGTGAAGATAGTCTGCAAGGCCCGCAGTATTGCTTATTCTATTCGGCTCATTCTTCTTCTTTTTCTGTTCTTGCCTTGCCGATCCGAAGTATGTGGTGCCGGCGTCTCCTCTGGCTTTTGGCTTGGGGTTTTTAACCTCTCATTTCCTGCATAACATTGCATCAACATCTTTCCTTCCCCCCATTCCCTTTCATCCACCCAGCCCACCCCTTAACACCGTTAAAGATGCAAGGGCTTCTTCAGGGGATCATCATAGCACTGGCTGCATGGGCGAACAGCTCAGCCGCCAGAAGCATCCAGCAGCAACAGCCTTCGACTAGCAATGTTACGCCTGTGAACATATGCCCCAGAGCAATGGATAATTGGGTAGACGATATCAAAACAGAACTCGTCCCGAAGCTGTCGCCAGGGGCCAAGGTCTATCTCCCTGGCTCTGGCGACTTCGACACTGCCACAGCTCGCTGGTCTGCCCTTAGAGCACCTACTGTTAACGCTGCCATTTCGGCGGCCGTTCCTCAAGATGTCGTTGAAACGGTAGGTTCATTTATCTTCCGTTTCTCCTCTTCGGAAATTTCATTTATGCGATAAGTCATATATACTCACAGGGAGACAGGTCAAATTCGCAAATAATAAGGGTGTTAAGTTCCTGACTTACAACTCTGCCCATGGCGCCCTCACCTCCCTGGGCAAGGTAGACAGTGGCATCGAGATATTCATGAAACAGCTCAACAGTGTCGAAATCGCCCAGGATGGCAAATCGGTCAAGGTTGGAGGTGGAATAAACTCCAAGTATCTCGTTGACACTCTCTGGGATGCTAAGAAACAGGCCGGTCAGTCCTTTTTAACTTTCATTTAGTTATTACATCTATTTTTTTTATTATGGCCTATTTGATTACTGACTCGCGTTTTAGTCACCGGAACCTGCGAGTGTGTCAGCTATCTTGGACCAGCTCTTGGAGGCGGCCACGGCTGGCTCCAGGGTCACCATGGCCTAATTGCCGACCAGTTCCTGTCGATGGATGTTGTCCTTGCCGATGGCACCCTCAAGACTATCGACAGTAACTCCGATCTCTTCTGGGCGATGAACGGTGCCGGCCATAACTTTGGCATTGTCACTTCCGTCACCCTCAAGATCTACGATATAGAACACACCGACTGGGCTATCGAGACTTTGACTTTCTCCGGTGATAAGGTCGTGCCTGTCTATACAGCTGCCAACAACCTCTTGAAGAAGCAGCCAGAAGGTGTAGTCCAATGGTCGTACTGGCTCAACAACCCCAGTGCCGATGCCAACAATGTCAGTTTTCCTTTCTTTATTAATATATACAAGCGTATATATATCCCATTACTAAGATCAATACCTTCTAGCCCGTTATAATTGTCTACCTCATCCAAGAGGGTGTCAAGCAAGTCGACCCGGCCATCACCGGCCCATTCCATGACATTGGTGCCCTCAACGTCCAGCCCGATTCGGGTACATACAGGGACTTAGCCAAATGGACCGGTATCGCTCTTGACTCGCCACCATGCCAGAAGACGGGTGCCTCCAACCCTCGCTTCCCTATCTACCTAGAGTCCTTCAACGTACCGGCCATGCAACAAGCTTACAAACTGTATGCCTCTCAGGCCAATGTCTCTGGACCCTTCCACAACTCCATCTTCATGTTCGAAGGGTACTCTACCCAGGGCGTCAAGGCCGTCGACCCCAAGAGCGCCGCGTTCGCCTTTAGGTCAGACAACTTCCTTGCCGCTCCGCTTATCAGCTACGAGTCTACCGGCTCTGATCTTGACCAGAAGGCCATTGACCTTGGCCAACAGCTGCGTCAGATCCTTCTCAAGGGCAGCGGCCGCTCGGAACTCCACACGTATGTCAACTATGCTTTCGGCACCGAGACTCCTCAACAATGGTACGGCTACGAGCAATGGCGTCAGGACAAGCTCAAGGCCCTGAAGCAGAAGTATGACCCCGATGGGAAATTCAGCTTCTATGCACCGATTGTATGAACGACGAATGAATGATATATATATATGTATATATATATTCTCTGTAGATAATAGACGTGCATGCATATACGGACATGCATACATACATACTAACTTACATAGAAACCCGTGGCATCCAGCGTTCATATGCCATAATTTTAATGTACAGGAATGAGATTTGACAGAGCCAAAAATGCTACCTTTCAATATACCTGTGACTTGATAATATAATTGTGATGTAACTTGCCAACTTCGGTCTGTGGAGCTCTTCCTCCCTTATATATGTGTACCCAGCCTCAACAGCATTAAGCATGAGATCTAGTCAATGCCCGTGTATTGATTATCCTGGGGATTGGCCAATGCGGAGGTTCCAGAAAGCGTTCGTCCATGCATCCTGCACTGATACCGCGATACCTCAAACCCATCCGTTCATAAAGTCGGGAAATGCTCCACGCACATCTAACAAAGTGCTTGAAAGTCCAAACAAGTTCTTGAGACAGACGCCAACTTTCCTGCACAGGCGACATCATCGGCATACCGGCCATGGCATCATCCATGGCCCCATACTCCTAATACCCCTTTGTGCGGGACCCTATCCCTTATTCTGGACAAACACCGATTATCAACACCACCGAGAGTGTCGAAGCCGGGGGCAATTAGAGACAATTCTGGTCGACAACGTATACTCTTCCCACACGGCCGTCATCTTGGTTTGAAGGGTAACCCAGAGGCACGTTTGTGGTTTGGGATGCACTCATGAGGAGGACAGGCCGCCACCCTTGTTTCAGGGAATGAAACAGTTCAGTTACAAGTCAGGTTAGAGGGGCCAGGTTTGAGAAAATTGTCGGCCAGGCGTTGATACCACCAAGGAAGCAAAGATATAGACAAGGACATTCCTTGGGTGTTGTGTTGGTGGAGTAATGGATACATACCACTTATACTCTGTGGTGACCCCCCTAGAAGGGAAAAAGAAGATGGAGGTGAAATTCCATTCAACCGAATAGCTAATGTAACATTCCAGAAGCTGGAGTATCAACCATTTAGCCGGTTGTTACGTACCCGCGGCTGAGCTAGGGGATGGTAACTTGGACGAATGTCCTTGGTCAATACCCCAGCTGCATGGCCAGGCTTTTCCTTGCTTCTCATCATCAACGTTGCCCTCACGATATCTCAATACCTGGAATATATATATGGCTGTGGGATTATGCATGGCTGTCGATTCGGAAAGGAAGATGCGTAAGTGCTTTATTCGATGCAGTTGAAGGCCTTGTATGGGAAAGTGTTCCGCACAGCCGTAGAATTGCTCGATAATCCCACTTCTGAGAAGCTCCGGGGCAGACTCGCGGAGAACAAGACTGAATGGGATGGAGTTTGGCTATTGAGATATGCAATGGAGATAAGTGATGCAAATTTCAATGGAGGACGCAGTTATCTCAAAAAAATAATGGTGATACCCCTATATTTAAACATGGATTTGATATGAGAGCCATCCTTTGCCTACCACGTGGGATACTGATTTAATGGAGAGGCTGCATACCATGTCTGCAAATGCCGGAGAGCAGAAAACAATCATATGCTTGATATTATAAGAATGTCAAATCACCATATTCATTTTGATGGCCTGGTCCTTAAGAGATTAATCGATGGACAGGGTACGATTCTATTATCATAATCTGAAGGGTCGATTCCATGTTTCCGGTTAATTGCAGGCTGAGGTCGATTGGGAAAAATCAACCGACTGAGTCGTCGATGTTGGAAGGAATCTTGCTGCTGATGTGAAGATTTTGAAGATTATGCTGATCATATCTATTTATTCTATCTAAGTATTCTATTAGCCAATGCTGGTAATTTGATAATTATACTATACACGTAGAGCAGCTATGGTAGAGCCATAGGAGAGCGGCTATATCGTAGGGAAAGATCATCTATAAACTGTTGACCACTAGATGACGTACTGCGGGCTTGTAAGCATACGTAACTGGTTATATCTGGGGCTATATACTCACTGGAATGAAGATGTAGGGAACAGCCTTCTCGTACTGCTTCCAAGCCTCGCCGTACTTGCGTCGACATCTATCAATGTCCCTCTGAGTACGGTGAATGATCATAATCATGAAGAAGACGAAGTAAAACCAAGGGAAGGGACTCCTAAAATACTCGTTAACCATGACCCTAGATATGATGTGGTTTGTGACTTACTTGAAGCCGGTGAGTAGACCCCAGGTGAAGGAGAAGAACATATCCGGGACATAGTTCGGCTTGCGGATGATCCCAAACCAGCCATCGATAAGCAGATGGTCGCCTACGTCTGTCTTGATGGTTTTAGGATTCTCAATGGCTTGCCAGGGGACCTGTGGGAAGGTGTTGCGTTTAATAAGCTGGCCCCTTTCCTTGTGACGGAATGCGTTCTTCTGGCCATTGGCGCTGTCCCACATCCAGTACATGAAGAGATAGACGACGCCGAGAGCAGACAAAGCAATGGGGTTCCAACGGTACTCTGACGGGTGGTTTCTGGCCATGTACAAGGCACAATGGCAGTACGTGAATGGTACGCCAGCCATGTTCCAAAAGGTAAGCATCCAGCCGAGCTTCTCAAAGTACATGTCCCTGGGCGCAAGGTCAGTATATTTACCTGATAAATTGCGACATTCGAGAGGCTCACCAGCTAGTAATGATCATCTGCTCTGCTTTGGCACATGCATTGGCATAGAGATAATGCGCAACAGCCAAAAAGACGACTTCAGGCGCAACATAGCCGTACGTCTCATATTGACGAGTAGCGACGGAACAGGTGATGAGGAAGAGGATGAACCAGGGAATCCTAACCTCATAAAACATCTTAAAGTCCAGGATACCAATACGGGGGTTCAGTTCAGCACCCATAAAGAAATCATAGACGGGATATCCAGAGAGTCGGTGGGTTCGGCCTCGCACCAGCGCCTGAACATAGACAATAACACTATTGATGAAGCCAGACAAGATGGCAACTGTCATGATAGAGCCGAACTCATCGATCAGCGTGTACAACGGGAATAGGCCGGTGACATGCAAGACTGCAGCGATAGCCAAAGTCGCGTAGAACGAGCAATACGCAGAGCAGAAGTAGGGCAGCCTGCGGCCCCCTTCGTGCCTGAGCGGTCGTCCATGGCTCGACACGCCTGGCATGTAGCAGTACATCAGGGCTTCGGCAACGAAGAACACCCAGTAGATAGCCCATGCCTTGGCCGTGGGATAGCCGCCTTCGTACACCAGATGGGCGAGATGCAGGGCAAAGTCCGTCCAGCTCTGGCCGGCGGCAGGCCAGGGGAATGCGCCACCGTAGTATGTTGCGCCAATCCACATATACCACATTATCAACGGGGACCCGAGCATGACGCCCATAGCTCCGAGCGAGCCGCCAAACTCGAATTCATCCGAGGCGCCGTCGGTGAAATTGGTCGACGTTGATCCTGCTCCTGGCGTTGTTGTTGGCGTTGCTGGCTGCTCGACCCCCCTTGGGCCCCTTCGCTGGCTGGCACCCATGACGGCTGATATTGGACAACGAAGACCAGACTAGATGCAATTAATCAGTCAATTAATCAGTTAATTAATTGATGCATCAAAATCCACGGTCGAGGAAATTAAGATGAAAAAAAAAAAAAAGATCAATTAATCATGAGAAATTCGACGGCGGAAGAAGTTTTCAGCCTGTTTATCCACCGTCGTCCCGCGCTTTATAAACAGCCTAGCAAAAAGGGGCTGGAAATCCCGGGAGCCGAGGACCAATAAGCCAGCCGTTATTACTATGGAGTCAGTCCACAACAATAACATCTAATCAATGGATCATACGGTTTGAATGCGCCCGGATGAAGCGTACCCGCGAAGAGCACGCTGAGCAGTGTCTGAATATTGGTAGCGCTTCATGCTGATGTCTCTTAAGTCAGTGGCTGGCTATTAACTGGTCAAGGGGCTTCGGGCGCCGCTAAGGACAAGGAGATTAAGAGAAGAACCGGAGAAATAGGACGGCATCGATGACGGAGAATGTCAATTCCAGCAGGGCAACAGACAAACAGGTGTTTATCCCGGCTGCTGGACAGGTTCGTGATGTTAAGAGGCGCTGATATTGCATCTGCCAGCCATCACAGCCGTCGCAGGGGCGAGAAATAAGCCTGAAGCCAGCCGGCTTGGCTGCGACGTCTTCGAGACGCTCCAACGCGAGACGAACATGCAGAAGAAGTCATAGACAGCTCGCGGGGCTTGTCGACTGTCATTGCTTGAGTCTCTTCTCGTTCTCGTCGGGCTGGTTGTGGCCGCTTCACGGCGATATCAAGCCCGGCGTCTCTGTGAGCCCCCATCGCCGGGCATCAACAACTCGCCCTGGCCGTCCCCGCAGATATCCAGTGGCCAGCAGGTGAATACGAAATATGGACTGGATTCTGGGAATAATACGAACGGCCTGACCCGTCCAAGATATCCTAAGCATGATTTGGATTTCCGTCCAGGGTTGCAGCCTGCACCCCGGACTCCTGCAAGATGAAACAGCGGGGGGAGGGACAGGCTAGCGTGATGTGCTATTTCTGCTCCGGGGGGAAGAGAAGGCGAAGACGGGTCGTCAGGTGTGCCTTTGATCATGATCTACTCTCTGATCGACTGGAATGCGAAGTACAGGTACGCTTCGAGAAGGCGGCTATGGTGTTGATCTACCGGCGACGATCGAGCATCGGTCAATATCAAGTTATATAAAAAGGGGTTCTCTCGACGCTCAACTTGCGCCCTCTGCTTTTCAGCCCAACTTGATATCGTTCCTCTTCGTCTACGGCTTGCTACGACTTTCTTGAGAGGCATGGTATCAAGCTCCACAAGCCCTGGGTAGCCGAGTCAGCTGGGTGCTCGAGATAACAGGGCCTCCCTCCCACGGCCGATAGTTATCCAGCAGGTCTCCTCTCTCTCTCTCTGCCTCACCCCGGCTTCTAATATCCGGCTTGTCTTCTTTTTTGGGAGGTGCCATTTGACATCATTTGACATTTTTGACATTTTTGACATTTTCGACATTTGCCATTTGCCATTTGATACTTGACATTCGAGTCCCTTGAAGCTTTTACAGGCCTGTTTTTCACCGCTTGGTGCTATGGCTGTTTCTTCTTCATAGTGCCCTTTGTGTTTTCGTTTCTTTTCTTTTTCTTTTCTTTCCTGTTTCTTCCTGCTCTTTAGCTGGTTATCTCGAGCGGCGGGCACGGCTACGGCCGGTTTCAACCTTTGCCCCTTAGCTAGCTGGATTGCGGACGAGGATACAGCCATGGTTTGGCGACTGAGATACCCTCCCCGATGACGGTTCGTAGCCCGGGGGCCAAGGCTTCATGCGAGGTGTTAGCCCACTGAACCCGCATATTCCCCAATGCGACTTTGGTATGGACCAATTTCCGCGTTGCGGAGCAATGACCTAGTCGAGAGGGCTTGAGCTCAGGGAGAGGAGTATATAAGGAATGACCATCCGTGGCTGTCGAGCTGGATTTCTCTTCTTTCTCTTTGCCAGAAACCAGAGCAGACCAACCCAGAAAGTCATTGAGATATCCTTATCCTCATAAAATACACATCCTTTCAATATGCGTTTCTCCGTCCTCCTCTCCGGCCTTGCTGCCGCTGGCTCCATTGTCACTGCTGAGCGAACTTGCGGTGCTGTTCCTCCTCGTGCCTATGAGCAGGAATTCACCCAGGCTCTCAACTCCCTCAGCCCCGAGGCCGCCAGCGCTGACCTGACTGCCGGCATCACCATTGACACCTACCTCCACGTCCTCACCAACGGCCAGACCGGAAACATTCCCGTATGTCACTCCCACTCCTTCCCTGGCTGACCGCGCGGAGACGACGTTTTGGGTTGGTTGCTAACGAATGTTACAGGACTCTCAGCTCCAGGCCCAGATCAACGCCATGAACCAGCACTACAGCCGAGCTGGCGTGCAGTTCAGACTGGTCAAGGCTACCCGCACCAACAACGCCAACTGGGCCAGCGGCCAAGACGAGGCTGGCATGAAGAGGGCCCTGCACATGGGTACCTACTCCTCCCTCAACATCTACTTCATCCCCAACCTCAGCAGCGGTCTCTTGGGAGTAAGTCTTTGTCCTAGAACTCTCGTATCAAGAGTATCGTGGCGACTAACAACATATTAGATCTGCTACTTCCCACGCGCCAACCCAAGCCAGACCACCATCACCATGGATGGCTGCATGGTCCGCTCCGGCACCGTCCCCGGTGGTGAGACCACCAACTACAACCAGGGCAAGACTGCCACCCACGAAGTCGGCCACTTTTTGGGTACGTTATTACAACCTTATCGCTGAGTGTATAAAGTTGTATGACTGACGTCTGCAGGTCTCTACCACGTCTTCAGCGAGAACGGCTCTTGCGCTGATGCCGACATGGTTGCCGACACTCCCCCCCAGTCCAAGAAGACCAGTGGCTGCCCAAGCTCTCAGGACTCTTGCCCTGGCGGCGGCGTTGACTCTATCCACAACTACATGGACTACAGCTACGAGTATGCTTTATTCTCTTTTATAGTGAATGGAAAGGATGATGTACTGACTAGTATTGTCTAGTGTCTGCATGAACCAGTTCACTCCCGGCCAGGCCAACCGCATTGCCCAGTCCTGGAGAGCCTTCCGTGCCGGCCACTAAATTACTCGCAACTGAGTGACTGGCAAGTATCGCTGCGGATGATATGAGATAGGGTTATCATCCGCAGAACAAACCCAACGAACGAATGACCAATGGCTTGGTCCGGCCTGCGCTCGACCTGGCTTAATGAATACCCTTCCCTTGTTGTATATATATATATATATATATATATATATATATATATATATATACATTTTCCACCGTACATAGCTCTAGCACCTGCACATGTGAACATACGCAATGTAAATACATTCTTAAATACATGCATATTCTCTATTGTCTTTTGGTATTTACTCTCTAAGCGCCGTGCTTGACCCTTGACATCTCGTTGGGCTGTGTATATGCATGAACATGTGTAAATGAGCAAGGTATCTTCCACCTCTATTAAGCGGTGTATATCAGTCCTGACCGGCTCTACCATGCTGATGCCTGATGCTGCTGCTCAACGATGATCTCCTCGGTCACCCGTTACCCATACAGTTATGTGTACTCTATATAGCATACATTTGAGTCGAGTCCAGGATATCCTCGAGTCGGATGTGTGAAGTCGAGACAGGAACAGCCCAGGGTATCCGGCAACGCATGCTAAGCGCCGGAACTGCAGCTGATCATCAATTGTTCGTCAGCAGATACTCGTTGACTGGTTGAGTGGGAGACGGTGAGTTACATGCTGATCCAAGCGTTGCTAACCAGTCAACGGCTGCTCTGCAAGTGTAACAATCGCCAAGCAGAATCAAAAAGAGCCATCGAGAGCCAAACAAGCCATCTGGAGAGACAGAACCTGCGGAACTTGTTGAGAGGAGACGAGGAAATCACCCTCAGCCAAACGGGGGCCCAAAACTCGTACGGACCCGTCCCCCCAGCGTCATATATATAAACCAGCAGGATACGGAGTATCACTTCAGTATATTAATCACGTATCAAGCTAAAGCCACCAGCCAGGAGTCAGTAAATACGGAGCGGCTCCTGCATGAGACAGTCAGCCAAGCCTGACTCCGTACTCTGCCCTTCGCTATGCGCCTGCGCCGTGCCGTCAGAGTCCCAGACGTTGCTGTCATGCTGCCATCGATATCGACATAGTCTGAACTGCTCCGTAGAGGATTAAGCATCAAGCCGCCACCACACGGCCAACGGCACAAGCTGATCCGGGCTCGACCGCAGTACATATATGTAAGTACTTATTGGCCATCCAGAGAGCGTTCTATGGCTGAGTATCTGCCTGCACCGCCAGCCGAGCGCAGTCGTTTCAGCCACATCTCCATCTCCGTGTTTCAGACCTGCCCACTTAGAGAGCGATCAAGCGCATCGCCGCGACCCGCCGTGACCCCCTCAACTAGTCGCCAGCCTGACTAGCCCATGCATGTCATCCTGCCTTATATCTGCCACCGGCCCTGCAATAGCAGCCATCGACACCAACAGCAACGTCGACGCCAATACTTCGACGTCCATCAAAAAAGATCCCAAAATCAACAAAAATCGCGAAAACGAAAAAAAGAAAGAAAGAAAGAATAACACATGCTGACTAACAAGGTTTGTCCCCTGAAAAGAAGATCTTTTTGGCTTCTTGGCGGCGCTAGTCCCCTTTCGGCCGCTCCGCCTGCTTTCTCCCTTTTTTCAACGTCGACGTCGGCGGCTTTTCTGGTCTCGCATTTTGGCTTCTCTCGCGGCATCGCCAGATATCATTTCATTCCAGCGTCTTCTGCATCGCAGGATACTCGTTCATTACTGCTGATTTCTCGTTCTTTACTGCTGTCGCTCTTTAGCTGTTGCTGTTTTGCTTGCCGCTGTCTGGCTAGTTGGCCGGCAGACTCCGTCTACTTCCATATATCTACTTGCTACTAGTGATAGTCTGCCTCGACCACTTACTTCCCACCACACAGCGCATACCACCCCCAGCTCGAAATGATGCGCGGTGCCGCTAGACTTGCTGTTTGACGTCGAGACAGACCGGAACTTCGCCCAGGGACCTGGCATTGTTGATAAATGCCCGTCCTGCCGCTCCTTTAGCCGCCATCAATACTGCTCTGTCCGCGGGTTCGGACAGGAGACATACAGGAACAAAGGGGAAAAGAAGAAGAAAACAAGAAAAGACGGCCAGTCGCATTGCGCTGGTACTGCTATATTTGACATATACGTGCGGCTGTGCTGCTACTTCGCTCTTTGCGCCGTTGCTTATACCACATAGGTAGCGCTACGACTACTACTACAGAGTTCCCATCATGGGCTGTTGCGGGGGCCGCGATGAGGAGGTCCGGCTCAGAGAGGAGCAGAAATGGGATTACATTGTGAGACCCAGAAGTTCTTATTACCATGCTTATTGTCTTCTAACACTGGATAGAACTTGAATGACTTTACTACAAAGTCCTGCTGGATCCCCGTCTCGTACACGATCCTTTACTTCAACGTCATGATCTCCCTGGCCGTCTACGCGCTTGACACCTTCACGGCCGTCAACTTGCTTGCGTTCTCTCGCTGGTCCAGTCAGATCAAGCCTGCTATCCCCCTCGACATCTCTAAGTGGATATTCGCCGGGTGCATCATTTTCTCCCTCGTGCTGCTCGTCTACCGTTGGCTGCGTGCCATCAGGGTCATCAAGTCCGGCGGCATCGCCCAGTGCTATCTCGACCCCATCGCTGTCAAAGTCCAGAGTATTCGCACCAGCAAGCGTGCCTCCGGATGGAGACGATTCCTTGTCTTCGCCGAGTTGACCAAGAGCAGGAAGGGAGCAGATTACGTTGCCATCTTTACCTACTTCAACTTCGAGGGTGAGTTTTTCTTTTCGTAGGTTTCCTCCAAAATAACTCTTCTATCTAACGGTCTCTAGCATGGTTGAGAGTCATCTTTGCTCAGGGACCGCGTCAGGTCATCAATGGTATCACCCTCTACTCTGTAGCACAGCTCAATCTTATCCCAATCGGCGAACATGCTGCCCCAGAGGGAACTTCGGCAATCTCCCAGTTCTTCATCAACATTGAAGCCCTGGCTGAAAAGGATAGGCTACAGGCCCTCATTCTCTTCTCCATGCTTTTCACCCTCGTTATCTGGGCCTTTGAGTTTCTCTCTTTCTGTGTCTCTGTACTGCTTTACTTGCTCTTCCTCTGGCACCATATCCCGTCAGAGGACGGCACGCTTTCGGCCTACTGCCGTCGCAAGATCAACAGGCGGCTCGAACGCATTGTCAAGAAGAAAGTTGACAAGGCTCTCACGAACGCTGTTGTCCTGCAAGATAGGAAGCGTACCAACACCGATCTAGAAACCGGAGTGGCCTCTATCAAACGCAACCCAACCTTGCCCACTCTTCCCTCGGTTATGGACCTCAAGCAGCCACAGCAACCTAAACTGCCGGAGATGCCTCCCCTCTCACGCCAGACAACCGTCACTACCTTGCCGCCTTATAGACCACAGACGTCCAACACTGATCGACCGCCGCCTCTGCCAGAAGTTGACTGGGATTCCCACAACTATGAACATGATCAGTACGACAACGAATATAATGACCATGATCATGACCAGCATGGTGACCATGTCATGGCATCCTCTACCTCAATGCATCGGACGCACTACTCAGATGACGCCTCTGCTTCTCTAGTAAACAACGCTGGTGGTATTGGGTACTCACCACCATCGTCGCAATACGATTATCGCCCACCACACCAGCAGCAGCACCACCACCAGCGCGATCCAATGCAGCGTGAATACACGAAGACGCCCATGCTGCCACCCGTAGAACGATACGGCACTCCGCTCTCTGTCTCCACTGCACCAGTCTTCAATGCTCAGGGGCTCGGTCAAGGCCGGCGTACACCAGGACCAATGACACCGGGACCAGGCCCATTGACTCCCGGACCGGGGCCTCGCACTCCTGGACCTCTCACCCCGGGACCTAGTTCAATGGGCCGCCAAACCCCATCCAGTCACCACCAACAACAGCAACAACAAGCATGGGATGCACCAGAAGTGCCCGATCTACCAGAGCACAGCCCCCAACCAACACTCCCATCAATATCTCGCCCTGGAACTGCCTTTGCTCCTCCACCATCCGTATCTACGCCTGCGCCATCATTTAACCGTGACCGAGAACGTGAAAGATACGGGCTATACGATGGCCCACAAATGTCTTCCCTCCCACAAATACCGTCCGCCCCTACGCCAACGCCAAGTGCACCTCCTACGCATGGTAACGGGGCACCGTATAGAAATTTTGCCCGGCCGTCGCTAGCTCCTTACTCTGCTCCAGGGGGGCAAGACATACCACCACGATCAGAAACCGCACCCTTACCATCGCAAGGCCAGTACAGTCATAGCCAAGTAGGCTACAGTCAAACTGGTAGTCAGGGTCATGGGCAGCAGCCAGATCTACGGCAGGAACCTCAGTTACCCCAGATACAACCACCAAATGGCACACAAAATGGGTCATACCCTTCCGTTAACCCATAAATGTGGCATTTTCTCTATGACTGCTGCTTCTTCTTCTTCATCATCATCTTCTCCTTGTTAACTGGCATATACCCCTTTTCTGGCCATTCATTTACCAATTTACGAGCTTCAATTTCACTTTCTCTAAAGACCCATTCTATACTCTCTTATCTTTACTTTTCTTGATTGATTCCCAATTTTACCTAGTGACATTTCACTGCTTTAACGACAGATGCGCCAATTGATTCATTGATTGACTGATTGACTGCCCTTTGACTCCGATATTCTTCTTCTCTCACCATTTACAAATATTTATCTCCTGACCATCTTTCATTCAACTGGTCTCTCTCACTCTTTGTCTTTATCGCTCTTTTTTCTTTCTTTTTCACTTTTTGCAAAACCCCTGAAGCGATTCCCTTTCCCCTATTCCTTTATTCCCTTCCTCCGTGTCGGAAGAAACCTCATGGGGGATATTGTATGGTGCAGACTTTCTGGGCGATTCAGGTTATAGTTCATGTCTCTCAGCCTTTCGAGCTAGGTGCATGGAAAATGTGGAAGACATGCCTTGTTAATGGACGGAAAATAGAATATATGAACTGATTCTTCTATTTCAATCTTCATCTTGACAGTGATGTGGTCGAAGACTTTTGGTAATTATATGTTGTTAAAGCGGCGAGCCTGATGTGTAAGCTGTAGATCTGATAAGAAAAAAGATAACAAAACATCCGCCTGGAATGCTTCGTGGCCACGACATCATATACAAATAGCTACTTGAGCCACCAGGGAGCTTCCTCTGCTGATCTTCTTCATAGCGACTCAAAGTACTACATCGTCTATTCCACCCTCAAGCACCAGCACCAGTTTCGCCTGCGTTATCAGTCGTCACGACGACATCCAACCTCGAAAGCCCTATAAAATACTTGCCTCCCTTACACCGCCACCAACCGAACAATGCAGAATGACAAGTGATGGGTGCCATACAATGAATGGACTAGGCATTGATGATGGAGAAGGAAAAGGCGACATTTTCCCGGGCGAGGTGGTCGGTTCATCCCTGTTGAATGGCGGGAAACAACGAAGTGAGGAGGTCGACGAACTTGACTATGAGGAGCAGTCGGCAGCGAGTTCAGAGCCGGTACTAGCAGCGCTGATACAAGGGAAACAAGAGGACAAATTTAGGAATAAATATGTGGGCATCAGCAGCTCTGAAGTAAATGCGGTGGCAGCAGTGGAAGTTGGCGACAATGTCGATGGCAGACAACTGCCCAGCCCGGCCCCAACGCCAGAGCCGGAGAGTCAAATAACTATATGGCCTGAGAATGTTACGGATGAAGACCCTACTGCCCTGAAGAGGCCAGCTGGCCTGATACCAAGACCTGCGGCAGCCGATGTTACGCTTAAAGACCGCTCATATACCTCGTCGCACCCATCAAAGTCTAATAAACAGAACACAGGGACGGACGCAACAAAAGAAAGAGATAAGGTCCAGAAACTTTCTCCGGCGAAATTACAAGATTTAACGTCTTCACCGGAATTTTCTTGTCTGCGAGTAACGGATGATGCTGACACTGATGTCGAGGTTGATGCCGAGAAGCCGCAAGTTCAGCAGATACCACCCTCGAAACTAGCCCTTGACGTCTCACCTGTCGAAGTTAAGGCAGGACCAGAACTAGAACCATCTACCGCTCCACCGATATCCTTGAAGGAGAAAGATGAGGAAGTAGATGTCTACGACGTAGATATGGGCACTGTCTCTGGCTCTATTGGTGCATTAAAGGATCGCAATAGAAGCCGCGCGCGAACACGTCGGTCTAGCACGGGAAAGAAGCAGGTCCATCTTCAGGATCCGTTGGAGTTTCATGGCCGGCGTGTTAATAGCGATCCTTCCCAGCCTCTTCCTACTTCATTTCGTCCTCGAGACAAAGCTTCGTCTGTGTCTGTCCCAGTGCCTGCGACCGGAAGAGAGCAGCTATACGACAATGGCTCAAATAACCGTTCAAGACGGATGCCGTCCCCGTTGAAACTAGATGCAGGTTCCCGATCAGCACGCTCATCGGGTGTAAACAGAAGCGTATCTCCTGTGCCAGCGTCTATTCCAATTCCGCCCTTTTCTATACCGACATACCTCCAGCTCGAACTATCCTCTCACAGGCCATCATCGCTCTATATCCATCGATCAGGAGCTCATGATTTTCCCTACGAGAGCTCTAGGGTAATGTTAGAAAGATTGCAGAATTTCTTTCTTCTTCCTCCACTTCTAGAACAGGCGTTATGTTTTGGCACTCTTGCCTGTCTCGATTCGTGGCTGCATACTTTTACCCTTCTCCCATTACAATTTCTAAAGGCAGTTTACATCCTGCTACAGTCCTGGATGATTAATCTTGGACTTGAGATCCGGTTCGTCGCTTCGTATATAGTGAGCGGTCTCGGTCGGATGTGGAAACGTCGACGACGGCGTGACTCTGTGCGTGAAACAACGCATGAAAAACCAGTTAATATCAAAGATGCTTCACAGAAGCTTATACCCATTGACCCATCGCCGATAGCTGGCAGTCCAGCCCTAGATCCAGCTTCAGGCTCAGACGCGCGTCGACGTCGTGGTTCTACGACTCGAAGACATCAGAGGACCAAGTCTATTCCGTCTACATTACTTGAAAACGACAAGGCAGATATCCTCAAGGGATTGCTGATGATATTTACCTGCACTATTCTAATGTACTTTGATGCAAGTCGAATGTACCATTGGATTAGAGGGCAGGCAGCTATCAAGCTCTACGTTATATATAACGTTCTTGAAGTAGGTGCATACAAACTCATTCATTTTGAAGGACTTACTAATCCCCTCCTTAGGTTGGCGACCGACTACTTTCCGCCATTGGCCAGGATGTTCTTGAATGCCTATTCTCTCAAGAAGCACTGGAACGAAGACCGGATGGCCGGAGCAAAGTCGTACGCCCGTTTTGGATGTTTATTTTCGCTCTTATATATACTGTTATCCACGCCACGGCGCTCTTCTATCAGGTGATGACGCTGAATGTGGCAGTGAACTCATACTCCAACGCACTAATAACCTTACTATTATCCAACCAGTTCGTCGAGATCAAATCGACGGTCTTCAAAAGGTTTGAAAAGGAGAATCTGTTTCAACTCACCTGTGCAGATGTTGTTGAGCGGTTCCAGCTATGGCTCATGCTCATCATAATCGCTTCCAGAAATTTTGTGGAAACAGGAGGCTTCAAGCTCGGAAATGCCTTGACATCTCAAAGCAGTGCGACAACTACCACGAATAGCACAACTGCTTTTAGGCCATCTACATCAATCCTCCCGCAATCATTCACCCTTCTTATCCCATCATCCGTATTTTCATCTTTGAGCAGTGTTAACTCCATTCTCCCTGCAATTGGCCACCTTTTAGCCCCTTTTCTTGTTGTTCTCGGTTCCGAAATGGTAGTTGACTGGCTCAAACATGCCTACATCAGCAAGTTTAACAACCTTAAGCCAGCAATGTACGGCAGATTCCTCGACATCCTCGCCAAAGATTACTACAGCAGCGCATTTTCCGACCCGAATCTTAACCGCCGCCTCGGATTACCGGTTATACCGCTTGCTTGTTTATTTTTTCGCGTTTCAGTTCAGACATACCAGATGTTTCTAACTGCCTGGCTGCCGCAATTATCATCTTCTCCTTTGTACCCCCCACCGTCGAACGCTACATCTTTGACTGAGATACACAGTCACTACGCTCCTATTTCAGGCTCATCGGCCTCATTATCGTCTATTCTACCAGGTTTCTCCAACGCTTCCGCATCGACAATTCTATCTTCAATATCACTCTCGACAATTGCACAAGCTGCTTCTTCCCTTTTCCAAACACTCGTGTCATACGCCACACCCTCTCCCGAATCGTTCGTCCCTATTTTCACCGTCATACTTGTCCTCCTACTTTATATAACCTTACTTTTGGGAAAGCTTGTCCTGGGCATGATCCTTCTTGGCTACTCTCGCACAAGATACAAAAACATGAAATACCGGGAGCGTGAGTACGCAGCGCAGCAGAAACGAGAACAACGTCGCCAGCAGCCGCAACAATACATGAGATCCACATCCCCTTTGCCTCATGTGCCTTCATTGTCTGCCCAAACTATCGAATCATCCTCGTTCAATAGGGCAAGCCACAGCAACAGCGATATGATAGAAGGAGGTCGACGTGGCGGCGGCTGGGGCGCTGTGGAGGTAGGAGAAGATAAAAGAAGATGGATATACGTCGATGACCCGGAGGGTTTGCGGAGGCTGCGCGACCGGGAAGCGAAGAGCAGGAGTGATAATCCCGGTGGGTCTGGGACCGGGGCTCATGGGCTGGAAAATGTGAAAAGGTACGAAATGGCGGCGAAGAGGATATGGTAATGAATGTATTCAATGTCATTTGCTACCAATATTAGAATAGGGAATAAAGCGGGAAGGCGTTCAACTTCTTTAGTTGTTTGAGAGACCATATGGCAGAGGATTAATCTACATTTTTCTACTGAATAGGGCTAAGAGCTGAATAGGCCAACGACGGAGTGTGTTCACTCTAGGCGGACCATAAAGAAGGTTTATGGAAGTGGGTCCGGTTTTAAGCATAAATGAGCCGCAACCTCGAAATTGGCCCGCTCCATGATCTAAATGAATAAATAAGTCTACCATTAATCTATAGCATAATAAATTTAAAAAAAAAAAAAAAAAATTTTTTTCAGAGCTCGAGTGGGCCTAACAAACCATCTTACTAGAACATGCGAATACAGCAGAGAGAAAATTGAAATGTTATTATTGGCTCGTCTCCCGATGACTTCCCTCTCCTGGCAGCAAGATAATTACAGAAACTGTTCAATAACTGTGAGTTCAACGTGAATTAGAACGTCGTTCCCAGCGAATCCGTGCGGGTTTCATAGGTCCAGAAAACAGTGATGAGTAGTCTGTAGCAGGTACACCCTTCTTCCCCTCCAAGCAGTATAATCGCAAGTGACGCACCACCGTAGCAACTATCACCGTTAGGTTAACGTAGGCAAATTTTTCTCCAATGCATCGGTGCCGGCCAGCCCCAAATGGGAGATATGGGCTATTAGACCCCTTAGACATAACACCGTAGCCATAATTAACCATATCTTCTTCCTGTTCATCAGTATTAGGTTTTTGGGCGTCCCATCGATAAGGATCCCACTTCATCGCGTTGGGGAAATGCTCATCACTCTGGGCCGTTACTCCTGGAGATGCGAGTAAGACATGCGATGTTGGTACCACATAAGGGGTACCAGGGACCGGCATTGGATTCTTGACCTTTCGCATGAGCGAATGGATTGACGAGTTGAGGCGGAGGGTCTCGCGGATGACATTTTGATGTAGCGGAAGGCTGTCAAGGTCTTTGTACTGTAAGGGAGCTAGGCGGCCATTGGGACCGGTATGTGGCAGATTGGCTAACTGTTCTCGGTAAAGTTCTTCCAATATATCTGGTTGAGAGGCTAGACGAAGCATAATCCAGGAGCTGATGGAGGACGAGGAGTGCTGACCGGCCATTAGGAGGGTGATCATCATATGCGCAATTTCCTTATCCGGTAGCAGTTGTCCATTTTTATAGGTGCATTGCATCAAATTGTGAATCATGTCTGTCTGGGTATTGTTGGACTTAGCTCCTTCGCGACGTCGCTTCTCAATAATTTCGGTATAGATGGCACGCATCCGAGAGTGGGCAGCATCTCGCTTCTTATTATGTGGCAAAGGGACCCACGGTAACATGAAATTCATAGGGGTGAAACCCTTATCCAGATCATGATATAGAGCGGCAAACTCGGTCGTAAGTTTCGAGCGTACCTCTTCCCCCTGAAGGGTAATACCGGCGGTAAAGATAGTTATTTCAGCCATGGCACCAGAAATATCTACGTCTCCGGATTTTCCGTGGAAATTGGGAGAAGTATCAAGATAATCTAACACTTCTTTCTCGATCAAGGGAACGTGAGCCTCTAATGCCGCTTGCGAGAGACCGTATTTGATGAATTTCTTCTGTTCCATGAGCTTGGAATTGGGACAATCGTAAACAACATTGGACCCAAAGACTGGAGTTGTTAAAGGGGAATACACCTCCTCTGCATTCACATCCTTTAGTTTGCCATTGAGAATGAATTCGTTGCCCTTGATTCCCAGGTATACGGTAGTGTGACGGCCCAGAAGGACAAACGTGAAGATATCGCCATGCTAGAGCCAGATGATCAGCGTTAGTTAGTCAATGAAGCAAGGTAAACGCTAATGTTTATTCATCTCTCACCTTCTTTTGACAAGAAAAGAAAAACTTATATGGGTCCATTCCATAGCTGATAGTATTACCCAGGAATGGGATCCAATGGAAGACTAAAGGCGGTCGGGATTTGTTAAGCAGGCGAAAAAGTAGCTGATAGATGACATTGAGAAAGATGGCCGCGATAAAACTTAGCAAGGCGTAGGCGCCCACTGTGAGCACGGCCATGCTTGATTAACTGACGAGGACAAGAAATTGGTGAACAGTGATTTGATATTAGTTGAAGAAATGTTGGCGGCGACGTTGATTTCCCCAGACTAAATAAGCAACTAGAGCGGCTGCCTTCCTGACCAGCCCGGGAATATCGCTTCCGGATGGGCAGATTTCGTATCCGGAGACAACAAGATGATAACTTCGACGATCAACTGGCTGTATTGAATAAGCCCGACTAGGTGATGCTATTGGCTCGCTATTGCTTACTATCGTATGCCTGCTAAAAATCAAGGGAGAGAAAGGCTGACTTAGGCCAAAGGTAACTGACGCCCAATTTTCATCACGGTGTAAAACGAAATCCAACCAGTCCGTTCAACCCAAAAATAAGCGTGAAAGAGAAAGCAAAGCCAAACGCCAAACGGGGTATATGCAGTAAGTAAATTTAGTTTCCAGAAAACATGCTCTTGAAAATTTCACGGCTGTTGTACAGATTTTGGATCCGTAAACGTTCATTATCTAGATGGGCGTTATCACTAGCTTGACCACAAGGCAAATGAGCGGCCGGAGCACCGAATTCTTTTTCCAAAAGACGAATAGTGGGGATGGACCCTCCTTCACGGATGTAGATTGGCTTGATGGGGTTTCTAACGTTGCAGTCTGTCTGTCCAGAGATAGAGTGTGAGCGTTTTTCTTGGGCAGAGCCTTGACTTTCACATGTAGAAGTAGGCTTTATGCCATTTGAACTAGAGGTAGTCGATGGGTCGACAAGAGTCGAAGATGTCGGAATATACTGCTTTTGCGTTGCAGCAGGCGATTTCGGCGAGGATGAAGAAGTAACGACATGTGCGGCGTCAGTAGAATCTGCATGAATTGGTGCAGGGCGACAGCGTAGTTGCGGGTTATTCAGTGGAGGGTAGTTGTATTCCTGGCTATCATTGCCTTGCTTAGTCCATGTTAATGTCACAGCACGGGAAAGGGCTTCAAATAGTTCATTATCAGGATCTCCGAGCCATGGATCTGCAGTTCCGGTAATTTCGACGGTGAGGGTATTCTGCGAATTTAATTCAGAGAATTGGGCCTGAGCATAGTTGATAAACTCCTCTGCCACCTTGCTTGATTCTTGGTTTGGAACGATACGGATAGAAAGTGATGCTTTTGCCTTCCTTGATATAGTGGTGGTCGACTTTTTGCAACTAGGAATATCAATACAGTGAATGGTTAGCGAAGGCTCACGCCAACGATGCATTAGAGATTCCGTGAATGATTCAAAATTCTTAATCTCGGGGTGGTGTGGTAGTAACGCCTCGGCAATAGCATCGTAGCGTGCCTTTTCAGCGGGTGTTAATGATAAAACCGGATCATGAAAGCCCGGGAGGTTGATCGCTCCTTTGGGTCCGACAATCGTTCCTAAAAGTAGCGTCAGGTCCTTGAGAGGTTCATCGAGTAGAGAACTTCCATCAATCCCACTATGGAGATCTGGTTGATTGCTTGATACAACAATGTTTGCATGTACCACTCCTCGTAATCCATATGTTAGGCAAGGAATGTGGTCATCCAACCAGTAGCTGTTAGCCAGGAGAATCCAGTCAATAGGACCAATCAAGGTTTTATTTTCACGGATGGCTTGTCCGAACCCCTGCGAACCAGACTCTTCTTCTCCCTCAATGAGGAAAACAACATTGTAAGACAACTGCTTTCGCTGATAGAGTTCTGCTGCAGCATAAAGCGCAGAAAGGGACGGCCCTTTGTTGTCGGAGACGCCACGGCCATATAAGTACCCATTTAGGGAGGTCAGGTGGAATGGGTCAGTGTTCCACTTAGGATGGCTTGCTCCAGCTCCAACAACGTCATAATGACCATAGAAAAGAATGGACTTGTCCTTCTTTACAGGTGCATTCGCTGGGAATTTGGCAAAGACAATCGGGTTTTTCTTCTGTCCTGTCCCAAGTAGCTTAGTCTGGGCTCCCAGATACTTGCAGTGTCTGCGAAGGAAGATTACGCCCTGAGCACATTCGCCAGCAAATGTTGAGCAACCCGAAATTGTCTTGAATGCAATGAACTTTGCCAGTGTGTTGACCATCTCATCTGTAAATATTGTAAGTTAGAAGACAATGACTTATAATCGGGCAAAAGGGCTGTTACGTACCGTTGCTAATGGCAGGTATCTCCTGTGAATCGGCTTTTTCGTCCGTCAAATCCCATAGAGCAACTGTGTTGTCATTACCGCCAGTAGCAAAGATCCATCTGTTCTTAACATTCCCGGAGGTAGATGCGAGCATCTTCCCATCATGAGCTGTCCATGTTCCAAGCTCCTCGAAACGAGAGTTGAATTTCTAGATGAATTAGACAACATTCACTGCATCTTGTGAGTTGGAAGTTAGGTATTCTTACCTTCACAACACCATCCGAATCACCACTTAGAATGAACCCTTTGATAATGTCAATTGCCCATACGTCACCAGTATGGCTAGAGATCGTTTTAATAATCTGTCTCGACTCCAAATTCCAGACATTTATTGCCCCTCCCGAGAGACCACAATAGAGGAATGTTCCGTCAACCGAGATGGATAGAACTGATTCGTCTCTGTTTTGAAGCATAAAAAGCTCCGTTGGCGCCACGCCCGGTCCATGGCCGAGTTCCCATATTTTTACAGATCCATCACCAGATCCTGTTAAAAGAACCTCTCCGCCACTGGTTTCTACCAGGCCCCTGACAAGCCTCATGCAGTAAACGTATCCGTTATGGGCGAATAATCGATGTTGGTCTTTTCTAAAATACAGTTTCTGCCCTTGGTGGCTCTCGATTCCATTTTGACAGGCAGTAGAAATGGGCTCTGTAGCTCCGGGACCCATGGAGTCAAAAAACTTATGCGGCTTATTTGCCTTGTTCCCAACTGCTTGAGGGATATCACTTTGCTGAAGATCGCACCACTAGAGAACAACCCGTGAGTAAATAACCCAAATATAAAAAGATGCAAACTATACCTGGATACTTGTGTTTTGGCCACCGCAATACACCGTTCCCCTGTCTGAAGAGTAGACTGTAGTGAAAATGTCCCCGGGGTCATGATGTGACTCTATTGAGTACAACTGCTCCAGCGTTCTCGTACACCAAACCTGTGACTTATTAGCACTGCTTCTTGCGAGAAATTCGTCGGTTCATACATTAACGGTAGAATCCCCGCCACTGGAAAATAGAAGCTCCTTATCTGGGGACAAATGAAGCCCAAGGACGCTCTCCTGGTGTGCTTCCACGGAAGCTATGGACTCATAAGTTGAAAGTGACCATGCCTATCCTGATATCAGCTTTGGACTGCGAAAAATACTAGTCGTGGTACTCACAACAATGTCTCCTCCTTGAAGCCCTGCGAATACGCAGTCCTTGCCAATAGCTAACGAGAGCACTGAACGGCTGGCCTGCAGCCGATGAGCCACTCCAGAGGCAGTTCTGGACTCCGTTGTCGGTGATGAATCGGAGTCCTGTGCATTCATTCCAGTAGTTTCAGCTGTTGAGAGCTTGGTGAAGCCTGTATCAATGCCGTTGAGGTCTAGATCATCCATGTGTCAGTTTGTCCAAGATGAGAACTACCAAAAATGCCCAGCCAGCTCCTTCGTGACTTTTGTAATGTGCTAATTTAACCGAGCCACTACCACCTCGTCTGCAGAGAACTGCGTCCTGTGTCAATGATAGATGCTATGAATATCTCTTCGTTACGTTGGTGTAAATTGGCGGAGGTTTTGGCCCAAAAGGAGTTTTTCTCCATCGAGCCGATGTCGACATCGCGTGGCGGTGCATTGACTTTTTCGTTCTTCTTTCACCAACGCCATCTCATCGACAACCACACGACAGGCAGAGAAGATGCTTACACAGGCAGAGGAAGGCGGATTAACGGACTTGCAATGAGACTGACTTACCAAAGGCTGCAGACTGGCTGTAGTTGATGCCATATCTCAGCGTTGTTCGAGTGACAGATGGCGGCATGGCTGTGATCGGAGGTCGAGGTTGAATCAGTCAGACAAGCAACAGAGCAACAGCAGCAATGGGCTTGATAAGATTATGAAAGACGGAATTCAAACGAGAGAATGCAAAAGTGTCGATAGGTGAACGAAAGCGCGCAGCTATGTTTCTTTTCTACACTGGAGGGAAAATAATTGGGAGGTAGGACATGGTCATTCGACTATATTTTAATCAACGACGCATGATGCACAATGGATTATTGCCAGACCAATTACTGTTTGTTCTCGTGGGATCTCGCTGGTTTCAAGGGACCAGCCAGCTTGTTGCATCGACTGGCGCCGCTTCACCGCATCTATAGCTCGAAGGAGAGACGGCCATTAGGTTTGGCATTGCAACTAGGCCGTGTTTCTCAAACGAGGACGTGAGGCGTGGCTTGGAGCTTGGAGCTTGGTATTCGGCTTGGATCTCGAGTTGCCAAATAGGGAACGCTTGGAAAAGAGGCCGTTAAGCCCGTTAATGGTCTGCTAAATCGCCGGTTCTACGGAGGGAGGCATCTTAGCGGCGAGACCGGCATAGCGGGCAAGGCTGGATAGCTCATGCGGCCCGGCTTGCCGCAGAAGACGATTAGATGTTTAGTTCCCCAGTTTGTGGGCTTACCTCAGGATGAACAAAGGGGAACGAGACAAGACGACCAAGGTTTAGGACCCCGTAAATATCCTCTACGAGGGCCGATATGGATTCATTTCTTACGTAGGTTCTTTCCGCCAAATTTGTACACAGTTTATGCGATATCATTTCGGCTTCTTATCTACGGTCATTAATGAAGAATCAGGAAAAAGAACTACACAATACGGAGTATCAGTCCATGTCCTCCATGAAATGAGGCATCTCATCATGCATGAACCAACCAATCAGAGATAAATCCCCTTACTCAATATATTGCTTGGGCAAAGCAACTCCCATCTCTTGTGTGATCCTAAGTATGATTGGTGTATATGCTTAGGTATACATGCTGAAGCGTGAGAATCTTACGTTTAGCGCGGATAGAAGTTTGCCTTGCAGACTGGAGAGGGAAAAGCAGAAAGTTCCGCATGCACTGTTACTACGGAGAGGTGACGAAGGGCCTGGACTTTTTTTTCATACGGGACACGAAGTAACTTGTAAATCCTGATAAGAGACGGACTCGTTAACTCTGATCTAGGCTTACCCTCACGGAGTACGGGGAAGTTTCTCCATCAGTCTGCAAAGCCAACCACAGCGAGAACTCCGTTAAACTTATCTAAATATATGGATGTCCTAGCACATCAGCAGGCTCAGCTGTCGGACGACCATGTAGATCCCCCTGCCGAGCGTCTGGATTCATATGGACTCATACATGCATTGTTACCAGAAACCCTCAGTATCACTTAATTACGGAGTACGGAGTACTGGATGCCGAGTCGACGACAGCTACTGAAGGGATGATCAGAATATGTACTCCATACGGAGGAATGTTTCACTCGTTGGATAGGCGGATGGGGGAGTCACGAAGCCTCGAGAGTTGGATGGTTGATGGCTTCCATTCTGTGGTATTATTATCCAGAGCATCAATCGTCGGGATTCTGGAGGGGGTTTCATCAAACCTCTGATCCGTGGTGGCACCAGAGACGGAAATTTGGACGGAAAGTAATGGGAATTGTTTCAACAGCGGTCAAAACCTCCCAGGGGTTTTGTTTGAGACGTCGTTTCCATCGGTTATGGAAGTGGTCAACAAAGGGTAGTCACTCCATAAGAGCTACCTACGCCATGAAGAAGATGGCGATGGATATTCGAGCCTTGATAGTCGTGGACGGCTGGCTGCTGGCCGCAGCTAGGTAAACTCGCCCGATAGCTTTGCTTGTCGGTAGTTGCAAGGCCTGAAAACAAGCAGTGGACCAGGCGAAGACGGGATGCTTGTTAAAATGGTTAGTCCAATGGCTACCCGGCGGCCGGTGGTCCACTACACTCCACTAGAATATATTTGACCCCTACACCGTTGTTTCTCTCCATCACATCTGTCTTATCCAGCTTATTACCTCGCACCGGGCCCCGGAGAAAGAGGGAAAGCAAAGAAGCGAGCAAAGAGTCATCATTTGCAAGCGAGAGAAAGATTCTGTATAGAGCAAATTCTGCAGCTTTGCATCATCAACGGAATCGAATATCAGATTGCATATAATACGAGAATCTGCGCCACGCTTCACCGCCACATTGTCATCGACTGGCTGCTTCTCTTTTTCTCCGTTCTCTTTCACGCCAATCACGCAGCCCAACCGCTTCATTCTCCCAGCCCAACTGAGGCCAGACAGGGAAAGGGGGAGAGAAAAAGTAGGGCGCCAGTTGGCTAGCAGAGAGTGGGCGGATAGGCATCGCCGTGGATCGGATGGCAGTCGTTGGCTGGATTGATTGTCCCGCCTCTATAATAATAACTACTATCCCGGATTGCTGAGTTGGCAGTGGCAGTTATATACTCAGCAAGACACTGCATTTCAAGGCGGACCTCCCTGGCACGCCCGAATCAACCCATATATTTTTCATATTAAGTGCATATGGTAGTAGAAGCCCTCGGACAGCTTCTCCCTGACCAGACATTGTGTACTGGTTCATCCAGAGCTATACACCTATATCAACAGTCAAAATGGCTGCCGCTATAGGTCAGACGATCTCCGTGATAGATAAGTCTGGCAAAGTCGTTAGCACCGTGAGTCCCGCCGTTGTCTTGCCACCACCATTATTTTGGCTAAAGCTTTCCCCAGAGCAAACATCTCTTCAGTGTATTCAAAGAAGCTCGTTCTGCCTACAAGGAACGTAAGGCCGTCATCCGAAGTGCCGAGGAAGCAAAAAAGGCGGAACGAGATACCCGCCGGGCTCTCGCAGCATACACCCTCGAAGATGACCGCTCCACGACTTCTAAACGACACCTAGGCCGAGCCAAATCGGTTGTTCGGCATCATGACGATGACAGGCAAAGCAGACATCACAGTCACCACTCAAGCAGGTCACAAAAACGCCGGTCATTCGAATTTGAAGTTCGATCCGAGTATCCAGATGGCTACCATCCCAACTCCCAGCTCGCAAGGCGTCATACGGAGCATAACCTTTCCATGGCAAAGCCTGTTAGGCCCCCGTATGGCGAAGCACGCGCCCACACTCTTCCAAAAGTCGATATGGATCTCGCATACGGTGAATTCCATCAATCTGCACTTGATCGGCTCGACCCGGAACCTAGCGATATGCCCGGGCTCGTAGGGAGGGTCAAGGATCTCCTTGTTGAAGCTGACTGCGCACACCACTCGGTTACGGCAACGATTGCTCACCTGCAGTCAAACCCAGATGCCATGGCTGCTGTTGCTCTCACCTTGGCTGAAATCAGCAAGCTAGTGTCTGATCTCGGTCCCACAGCCCTTGCGACCTTGCGAGCCAGTGCACCAGCAGTCTTCGCCCTCCTGGCCAGCCCACACTTCATGATCGCAGCCGGTGTGGGTATCGGTGTCACAGTAGTCATGTTTGGAGGATACAAGATCATAAAACAGATCTCATCGAAGCCAGAAGGAGTCGAAGAACGGCAACTCGAAGCTCCTGTTATGGTGGACGAGCTGCTTGAAATCAATTCTGGCATGAGCCGCATTGAAGGTTGGAGAAGGGGAGTGGCAGAGTCTGAGGCTGAGAGTTGTGGAACATCTGTTGACGGGGAGTTCATCACGCCCACAGCAGCAGCAATGTCTCGTGTGATGCTTAACGAGCAGCACGCGTACGATAATGACCGTCGAAGCGAAGTCAGAAGCAGCCGGATACTCCCCGCGCCAACTCGAGTATCTTCATATGTTGGAGGCAGCGTGTACGAGACGGGCTCGCAGTATTCACGCCGCTCACACTCGTCCAGGCACTCCAAAAGCTCCAAAACGTCTCGGTCCCACAGTGAGAGCAAGCATAAGAAAGATGAGCTGAAGGAGAAGGAAAGGAAGAAGAAGAAGAAGCCCTCCCCCTTGAGAAAGCTGTTTAGCTGATATCCCGCACGTTTGTTGTATTGTTCCTGATGACCGTCATGTATACGTGAGATTTTGCCACCGGATCTAATGACCTATCCGGGTGTTTTTTTTTTTTTTTTTTTTTTTTTTGGACTGATTTATATCCCACATTTTGGGTCTGCTTATACTTATCTTCATTTGAAGAGTGGGATGTCTTTTCTTCTATCTGTATTTTTGTTGCAGGCGTTTATATGTTCAATCTAGATATGGATCTAGATCAGCCCGTCTAGCCCGCGAGGGTGATATATAACGGGATACACGAAAAATCCACGAATCAGAACCGTAAACCTAGCTCTTCACCCAGCTGTTCGCTCTTTTATCTTGACTTCCCAATCTGCCGCCTTGTCTGTTGCTGAAATCCAACTTTGATATCTCTAACTTTCGCCGTCTGGCTGAAATGGCAAGATTCGTCACATGACGTCACGTGCAGTAAAGGGCTCCGATTTTTTTTTTTTTTTAAGTTTTATTTTCTTGCAAAGCTTCAAAGCAAAAAGACGATCGAAGAGACGAACGACAGCGCAGAAACACCATCGTCGACCCGTTAGAAATCTGCTGTTGTTTTTACGTGCTCTCTTGGATCTGATCCTTTTACCGCCTTATTCCCGGACGCGGTCAACGCCGCCGTGTTGAAAGAAGACCCCGACACCGTTCCATCTCTTAGAAGAAAAATCTTCATAACCCTCGATTTGTACAATATACCGGACAAGGCTGGCCTGTTGTTCTTTCTAAGCTTGAGAATCAATTCTAATCACACGATTACGGCTATATTTTATAACATAATAATACCTTGCACGCATTTACTTTGGCATAATGGATCACACCCGCGACCCGTGTCCCTATGTCATCCTCAGTGACTTTGGCGGTGCCTTTAGCATGGGTGTACGTTTACTCCCCTTAACAATTATCCAGTTTTCAATATTTGTCTATTCTCGGTAATTGGCACAGCTCAACTGACTAGGTTGTTATCTATAAAGGCTATTGGTGGTGCAGTCTGGCACGGTGTGAAGGGATTCAGAAACAGTCCATACGGTGAACGGAGAATAGGAGCTATCACAGCTATTAAGGCTCGAGCACCAGTTCTCGGCGGTAACTTCGGTGTCTGGGGTGGTCTCTTTTCAACATTCGACTGTACAGTCAAGGGAATACGGAAGAAGGAGGATCCCTACAATGCCAGTACGTCAATCATTTATAGCATATCTCAACATGTAGTATTCAGTTGTGGACCTGTGAACTAACTTGCTGTCATTAGTTATTGCCGGATTCTTCACTGGTGGTGCTCTGGCTATCCGTGGTGGAATGAGGGCTGCACGAAATTCCGCCATTATGTGTGCTTGTTTCTTGGCTGTTATCGAAGGTGTTGGTATCGGGTTCCAGAGAATGATGGCTGATAACACCAGATTAGACGTGAGTTTTGTCCTAGATTTTCTTCTCCTTTTCACTCCCGGCTAATATACATCACTTATAGGCGCCTCCACCTCCACCCAGCGGCTCATCGAACACAATGGCTGCATAATCAGTCCGATCATATATACCAAGTTGGCCTCGTCCCTCAATTCTTTTCACGTCAACGAATTCATTTGGCCCCTATTGCTTTGCTTGGGATTTAACCTTGTCCCCATATTCTCCTTCAACTTTCCCATCTTATCTGGAGTTATCCGGTCTCGTTTTATTTGTCAGGGGCATGGGTTATAAATAGATGATGCTTACTTGTCTTCCACCTTTCCCTCTGGTTTCCTTCAATCCTCCTTTTTTATCCTTCTTATAATGTCCTTATTAAACTCCGATTCTCACAGGGTGTCTCGATCAATCTCTGCCAAACGCCTGAAGGCTTCCTTTCACTGTTTCCCCCGATCTCATCCTATTCAGCTACACCCATAAATGATGCATGTCCCCTAGCGCATATACGGGCAATGCCGCGTACATCTGCGACGCATTCCCAAATTCCCATGGATATATGCCCAATTTCTCTCTTCTCTTTTGGCGCTAATGATTGTTGGAAAGCGAGAACGCCTTCCGTGCCCTGTACATTACCTACACATTGCATTGAAAAAAAGCCATGTCAATCGCAACTAACTCATTGATCGTCGTTGTACCGTTTTATTCCCTTTCGCCGCTTTAGCTCCACGTGACCATACCCCTGCCCAGCCCAGGTGCAACGGCTATTTCTCCGCCGTTCAGCCGAACGTGGAGTTGGATATCAGTTTCATTGTATAAATCCACCTAAAGAGCCTATTTCCCGCCTGTAGCTGACCGACGCGGACATCATGACAGTTACATATGCGGCCTCCTCGGAATCCACGCCGCAGCCGCGTTTTAGGCCAACGGTTATCATCCACGGCGGTGCGGGGAATATCGTACGCTCCAGGATCCCTCCAGAGTTATACGAAAGATATCGAGCGTCCCTATTGAAATACCTTCATTCGACCGTTACTCTCCTCAACGGTGAGAAGGAAGAAGAAGATGGGACCAAGAAGAATATTACGCCATACTCTGCTATTGACGCAGCCGTACATGCAGTGTCATTGCTAGAAGATGACGAACTATATAACTGTGGACGGGGAAGCGTGTTTACGCTTACTGGCACTCATGAGATGGAAGCTTCTGTGATGGTCTGCTCACTCCTCCCTGAAACTCAGGGTTGCGAAGATGTAAAGCGGGCACTGATTAAGCGTGGTGCCGGGGTCATGATGCTAAAAAACGTTCGCCATCCAGTACAATTAGCGAGGGAAGTCCTTCTGCGAAATGACGTTGAAGGCCACAGGGGTAATGGCGAGAGTATGCATTCTCACCTCTGTGGTCCGTATGTGGAATCCCTCGCGAAGGAATGGGGGTTGGAATCCAAACCCGACGAATGGTTTTTTACGCAGAAACGATGGGACGAGCATATGAAAGGACTAGGTAAAGGAGCTTCAATTGACCATGACACTTTGCCTAAAGCGGGAGAAGATATCTCGAAGTATCTCAGTCAAGGAACGGTTGGATGTGTATGCCTTGACCAATGGGGGAACATTGCTGCTGCCACAAGCACAGGAGGGCTGACCAACAAACTGCCCGGGCGGATTGGCGATACCCCAACGCTTGGGACCGGATACTGGGCTGAGGCCTGGGACGTTCCCAGCTCGTCAACTCGCCGGGCTCTCGGACTGTCTTGCACCGGCAACGGCGACTCGTTCGTCCGTGTAGCCGCTGCTCACTCGGCCGCCTCACTGTTGAAGCTGGGTGCAAAGAATTCGCTTGCAGATGCTATTACTGCCATTGCTGGACCTGGCGGAGAACTTCAGCGCTCAGCAGGCTCTAGGTGGGGAGTGACCGGAGAAGGTTCGGGGGGAATCATTGGCATCGAAGCCGAAGTGCCACACGATGCCGAGAAGCATCAGAGCGAGGAGCCGATTAAGGGAAAAGCAGTATTTGACTTCAACCGTGGCGGCATGCTTCGAGCCTGGACTGAGGAAGATGCTGATGGTGTCCTAAGGGAGAGAATGATGGCGTTCAGAGATGAGTACTACTCTTAAATAAAGCACTATGCTAGCATTACATACATTCATAAACCTATATCGTTAAACTGTTTCGTATTCTTTCGTTAAATTTGCACACATCATCACGTAAAATATACTCCGTTAAGATATACACGTAAAGCATTCTACCAACCTTCCAAGACCTTCAGCCTAGCCCTTACTCCATCTGCTGGCCGGTTAGTTATACCGGGTGTGATCTCCAGTTCTTTATCTGGGTCTTCAAGTTCCATCTCAAACCTTCCTGCCAGTACAGCGACCAAACACATCAGCTCACCCTTCGCAAAAGTGTTCCCAATACAGCTTCGAGGCCCATGTATAAAAGTAAGGAAGGCATAGTTTGACTCAGCACCACCGGTATTTGCACAACCGGGGGCCAGCCAACGGTCTGGGTTGAAGATATCTGCATCTTCTCCCCAGAACTCGGGATTGCGGTTCGTTGCCCGAGGTGAAATGGCAATATTTGTTCCCTTTTTGATAGGTTGACCGGCAATGACGGTATCGCGAATTGCCTGACGAGTAGTAACGGTAACTGGTGGATAGAAGCGAAAAAGCTCATTGCAGAAAGCGTTGAGGTAAGGTAATGTGTCTAGAAGGGTGGACGATATATGTGATAGCCCATTTGCGTCCTTATTTTGCCCCGGTGACGGAATTTTAGCCCTAACCTCTTCACGCAATCGACTTTGAACCTCTGGATGGGTGCATAGTATGCGTGTGCCATATTGGAGAGCAATGGAAGTTGTCTCGTGACCCGCAGCCAGGAAGGTCATGATCTGATCAACTAGACCTTCTTCCGTGAAGTTGCTGCTTTCAAGAGCGACGGATATAATATCACCACTTGAGTCATCAATCTTCTTGGAAGAGAGTTCATATCGCTTGCGCTGAACAAGCAACCGAGAGATTTCTCGGATCTTCTGAGACGCAGCAGTAATCGTCCTTACATATGGCAGTGGTAAGTAGAAGAACAATTCCGGCCAGGTCAAGAAGACGACATTCCGAATAATTCTAGTGAAAGGACCTGGAGTAGTGAACATCTTTCGGTACTCTTCTCGAAGCTCATTTACTGACTCGAGATCATAGCCCATGCCGGCCAGCCCGATTATTTCTAATGTTGCTCTTCCGGTATAGTCAGCAAAAGAAATGATCTTTTCATTTGCAGGGAGGGGGGCTATATCCTTTGCGATCCGTTCGGCCATCTCTACCGATTTCTGCCAGAAAATAGGGTAGAGCTCCTTGATATGGCGGAACGAGAATGCAGGGTTCAAATTCTTCCGTTGGACCTGTTTAGAAATTGTCAGCTACAAAGGCTGTGGTAACTGTATGAGGCGGTTGCAACATCAGCGGGCTTACCCTGTGCACATCTCCTTCCGCAAGGATGACACCAGTACCGGTAACCCAGCCTATAGATGCAACCAATGCGCGGGTCTTTGTAAAGTCATAAGCCCGATTGACCAGTACATCTGCCAGGGCCTTTGTTGATGTGACTAGCAGTCGCTCTCGGTTCAACATAAAATAATAGCGAATGATTCCATCATTGGGAACTTCTCTGGTCCACTTTGCACTTGGAGTGCCTTGGGAAGATGCCTGCAGAATTTTGAAATGTCCATTCCAAATGCTTCTTCCCTTTGTTTTTTGCATAGTAAAAGTCAGAAAATATATTACAAGTTCATTTTCAGTGAATTTAGCCAAAGCTCACGGGCGGACTTACCGGTGGGACGGGCAGGTGTTTATATGGTGTGAAGAAGATAGGGTATAATATGACAAGATACACTACTCGGAGGGCAAGGTAAGTCGTGAAGAGAGCTGGCAACGTCCATGCAAAGGTCCCAAAAATGGAATACTTGGGGAAATAGGAGACTAGAAGAAACGTCAAGGCTACGGACAAACCAAGCCCAAGTAAAGTGGCCATCTTAATGTGTGTCGTCCCAAATCTCGCGGTTAGAGGTTGGGCAAAACAGCCGACTTCTTGGTCCAAACGGCCTTAGGAGGGGGATATATTTCACAGTTATAGTGTAGGAGCCGAGCGGCTGAACACGATCCCTGTGGCATCACGGCGTTCGGGAGATGAAACCCTCCGTTTGTGAGCATCAAGTGAGCTCGTTGGTTGGTTGATGCCGGTGGCAAGGATTTCAGCAAATGTATCAATAACGGGTTTCGGCGGGTGTAAAGCTGAGCACATAGCCGCTACTTTCAGGCTTTGATAGCTGTTGAACTAGTTGCTTTGTGTATAAAGCATTGACGTAGCTAGGCAACTTGTAACTCTGTAACTAATGGTTAGGGCCTTGTATTCTTAGGCAGACTGTGAGAAGCTTGTTCAAACCTCCAAGGCGCTCGTGTTTCTCTTCAGTCTGAATGTAAAGCGGTCCAGCAAACTCTCTCTATCGCCCTGCCGTAGAATAAATTTCCCTGCAGGCTATTGACAAGCCAGCCAATTGTCGACTCGCAGCTATTTTGTCGATGGATTCGACTCTTGAGTGTCCAAAGTCTCAAAGTAAAGACAGAGCGCATGTAAGAGATCCGTATCTTGATACGTAAAAGCGGCTATTATGAGCTTCCTATTGGCTGCCGTCGCTAAAAGTTGGTATTTTTACTGTATGAAGATGCTCTGCTGAGTAAGCTGGATTATATAACAACTCATACCTTAAATAAGCTTATCATCACATGACCAATCACGGCCGATGAATAGTATCACGTGATTAATTAGTCACCAAAAAATTGAATTACATAAGCAGCAACAACCACAGCCTTAACGACGTTAACGACCTCAAGAACCGCGACACAACAACACCACAACCACTCGGATGGAGATGCGAGCTAAAGACAGCCCCTGAATAAATTTTTTCCATATTATTGTGGCGCGAGTGATGAAGAGTTGACGTGGAAAATGCCCATTTCTAAGTGGGAATGCTGGTACTGCCCAAGTTACAGTAATCAGGGACAACTCCACCATACAACAACACCTTACTCAAGTCGCTCCATCACAATGAGCCATTCTCAACAGTTCAGATGAGTAAAGAAATCATGTAAGTTAATGGTAGTGCGCTTTTGGGTGCGAATGGCTGATGCTATCGACGTATTCCGTATGAAGCAAGAGTACTTTGTACGCCAGACCGGTTGAACAGCAAACCTGAAAACCAAATTAGTTCACTGCTAAAGAAAAAAGGATATGTTATTGTTAGCAGCTGGCTTAACGTCTGTCAATCTTTTTATCGAGTGATCCATTCACCTGAGAAGATTAATTTTGCGATTTATACTCTAAAACAGGAGGTTTTCATTGATGCCCAGAGGCTGAAACGTGAGTATGTGGGGACTCGATTGAACACTGCCTTAAAAGTGCCACGGCCTTTTCAAGCTTTTATTCAAGCTAGGTTCACATAATTGTGCTCGTTAGAGAGCTCTGACATTATTGATGACGCAGCTGAGTACCATCAAGACCATACGATCACCCCACAACAGGAGCTTCACACTGTCACAACTTCGGTCTTTCCGCGGTCTGATAAGTAGCCATGGATACTTATGGAGCTCGTATCATATAACTCGACTTGACTTGCGACTGTCGCCAAGGCCGGATGTAACTCATGGTATGAATATTCTGGAATGCTCATCCTCCAAGTCATTTGTCTGCTGGCTGACCAAGGGGTGGCAAACTTGAAAATCTCAACTTTATCTCCAGGATACTAGCATATGCTCAACAGCCTCATGATCAATAAGAAGGCAATGTCCTACATGTCACATCTGATCATCCTTGGATATTCAAAAGCTCAGGGTTATTCTGCCATTCTTCTACCATGTTTTCCACCACCTGACAAGGTTGATTGGCTTGTTCTGACGTACTCGGAGGGACTACCAAGACCGGTCAACTATTTTTGTGCCAAACCACTCCATCAGGACTCCAATAAAAAACTATACTTCCCATTGGCCGGAAATTAACCGGAAATGAGTTGGTTGGCAGAATCTGGGGATCGGCAATTCTTAAAACTCCGAGCGCTAATCTCACAAGTCAGAGCTCTTCACCGTTCCGTTCGAGCGAGCACTGTCGCAACATGCGGCATAAGCGGAGTCGTTTGACTAGTTTCCACACTAAAGGTTCTCGAAACGAAACACGGGTTAGAGAACTGGTTCTCCATGTGGAAATACCCCATAAGGCACCGTTGATTCTATTTTATTTTCACTGTCCTGAATCGTTTTCAGAGCGATTGAGAGTGATCGTGGATGGTTGAACTAGCTGCTTCAACCATGCTAAATGTTATCGACTTGGCCAAGTATTATGTACCTGGTTATACATTTGATCGCCTTGTTTTCCCCAGCAACATTGGCTCCTCCTTCAGCAGGTATATGTATACTTTCTACGCTGATGCTCTCGTATTCCATAGCTATTCCTGGCCAGTCCCCTGGTAATGTGGCCCTATCTACGCAACACGGTCTGGGCAAAGACGGGAAGTTGTGGGTCAAAGTTTCTATCTCCTTTGATGCGGCCTGCACCTAATGCAAGTAACGCAATATCACCATCCCCACAACACGTTTTGAGATAGACATCCGCTGGCCTATCTTTTCATTATCTTGTTCTTTGCTTCACACAGCAAGGTACAGCCGTGTTATTCCTTGATGATCGGTTCCCTCAAGGTTCTTAATCACAGTGTCCATTCTGGAGATACCCTGGAGCGTACCTCGCAAGAAGCGTTTTGCCCCGAGAAGCGGGGGGTTCCAAGCGTGCAATATGTAGCAGATGACGCAAATACTGCCTGAATACCCTAGAGATACGATTCAGAACTGATTATGATGAGGAATGCCGGATTTTGCCGTGCTCTTTGGCAGTCTATATCTAGGCCTCCCTTTCCCGCTTCAAATCTTTCTCTCTTTCATCCCATCCTCACCATCAACCCCAACCTTCATTTCTCTTAACCTTCCTTAGTCGCCTGTCTTCCTGCATTATCCATCATGGGTTTCATCACCAAAGCCATTCCTATCGTCCTGGCGGCGTTGTCCACTGTCAATGGTGCTAGAATCCTTGAGGCCGGTCCTCATGCCGAGGCCATCCCAAACAAGTACATTGTTGTCATGAAGAGGGAGGTTTCCGACGAAGCTTTCAACGCTCATACAACTTGGCTTAGCCAAAGCCTCAACAGCCGTATAATGCGCCGTGCCGGCAGCTCCAAGCCCATGGCCGGAATGCAAGACAAGTACTCCCTTGGAGGTATCTTCAGGGCCTACTCTGGCGAGTTCGATGACGCGATGATCAAAGATATTTCCAGCCACGATGATGTATAAGAGGATTTCCCAACCCTGAAAGCATTCAGTGCCCGGAATTAGAAACGGTAGTAGCTAACAGTTACTTAATAGGTCGACTTCATTGAGCCCGACTTTGTTGTGAGGACCACCACTAACGGCACTAACCTCACCCATCAGGACAACGTTCCCTCTTGGGGACTTGCCCGCGTTGGCTCCAAGAAGCCTGGTGGCACAACCTACTACTATGATCCTTCCGCTGGCAAGGGTGTTACAGCCTATATCATCGATACTGGTATCGATATCGATCATGAAGATTTTCAAGGTCGTGCTAAGTGGGGTGAGAACTTTGTTGATCAGCAGAATACGGACTGCAATGGCCATGGAACCCATGTTGCTGGAACTGTTGGTGGAACGAAATACGGTCTGGCTAAGGGTGTCAGCCTCGTTGCTGTCAAGGTTCTTGACTGTGACGGCTCCGGATCCAACTCTGGTGTCATCAAGGGTATGGAATGGGCCATGAGGCAGGCTTCTGGTGGTGGCAATGGCACCGCTAAGGCTGCTGGAAAGTCTGTCATGAACATGTCCCTTGGTGGACCTCGCTCTGAGGCCTCCAACCAGGCTGCTAAGGCCATTTCTGATGCTGGTATTTTCATGGCTGTCGCTGCTGGTAACGAAAACGTAAGTTGCAAAGCCCAATTCTATAGATCCATCAGTCTAATCAGAAATGTTATAGATGGATGCCCAGCACTCTTCTCCTGCCTCTGAGCCATCCGTCTGCACTGTCGCTGCCTCCACTAAAGATGATGGCAAGGCTGACTTCTCCAACTATGGCGCTGTCGGTAAGTGTTCTTTGTTTACCGCTGATATAATATTGAACTGAAACTAACAATCTACTTATAGTCGACGTCTATGCCCCAGGAAAGGATATCACCTCCCTTAAGCCAGGCGGCAGCACTGACACTCTCTCTGGTACTTCCATGGCTTCTCCTCACGTTTGCGGTCTTGGTGCCTATCTCATCGGATTGGGCAAGCAAGGCGGCCCTGGTCTCTGTGACACCATCAAGAAGATGGCCAATGATGTTATCCAGAGCCCTGGTGAGGGCACCACCGGCAAGCTTATCTACAACGGCAGCGGCAAATAAATTGGTGCGCTCCGCCATCGCGAACCTGCCTCCAAACCTCAGGTCTCTTGATTGCATCAAGATAGGCGACAATCCTTCCTTGAAATATATACGGGCTGCACGATTGGAACTTGCTGGCAATCACCAATAGTTACCATTCGCCCATTATGGCTGTGCCATACTCCTTTTATTCTGGATATATTTGACATACATATATGTACAGACGAATATAAATTATATATAAACGAAAATTTTTCGGACTACCCAGTAGTTGAATCTTCCTCTAGTAGTAGTATGTTCTCTATTCAACCCAATGTCTCCATGCAAGACAACCCGTCCTGGGCTTGATGCTATCTATCCATTTTTTTCCTGCTTTCGATGTACAAAAAATTAAGCTTATTCCAATTAAGGTTTCGATAGAGGCTAACTAAAAATAGGGCTAAAGCATAATAAGCAAGTTATTTTAAAGCAGCGAGCTAGCAGCTAAAAGCAGCATACAGAGCCATGTTTTGATTATCAGGTGAAGAAAAGCGGCGAGAGGCCATCAGCTAGACATATCTTTTATATGAGGACTACGTAGGCTGAACGGATAGTTGGATAGTGACGTAATTAAAAATAGAATGAGTAAGGAAAGATGATTTACCACACGCAATACGGGCATAGGGGATATGTATATATATATGGCATCAACTTATAATACCTTGACTTTCATCCACTCACTTGTTCCAACCCCTAGATTCAACCCATTTCTCTCCCACCACCGACGTACCTTTTCTTCTGAGCCGGCAATTGCATCCTCAAGGGCCTCTTCGATATCACACGTCTTGAACTCGACATGGAGCCCACTTCTCCGCCACCATTCTAGGACGTCCACATGCCCGTTTTTTGTGGCACCAACAAGAACCTGGTTATCAAATATCATCTTCGTGCCTTTTAGCTTGTACCACAGTTCTAGAACATGAACGTGGCCATGGGTACTCGCAATGCGAGCGACGGATTCGGTATACGAGTAGGGTATGCCCGACTGATCCCACCAGGCTATTGAATTGGTTCGCCCAGATTGTGCGGCTAGTATAACTGATTTACCGACCTTTAGAGGCAGAGAATGCGCAGGGGAGCATTCAGATGCGTTTTTCCACCAGGATAGTACAGATATATGGCCTTCTGCTGATGCAGATTCCAGTGCTCGTTCGGTGTAGAGGAGCGGAAGGCCCGAATTGCGCCACCAATCAAGGACATGGATGTACCCGGCGCGTGAAGCAGAGTCCATCGCATCTGTCAAGTAGTCTTTCTTTGGTAGTTCAGGGCAATGAAGCCACCAGTCAAGGAGGGCAGTATTGCCATATATAGCCGAAGCCCGGAATGGGAGGTTTAGAAGCCGAGGAGTGGACCAGAAAATATCTGATCGAGAAGTAATAATCAAGTCTAATATATCTATGCGAGAAAATTTGAGAATAAGATGGGCGGATAATGAGGACAGTGGTTTCCACGGCGAGGCTGAAGAGAGGTATTGTTCGATTTCAGAGAACGGCCGTTTTAGAATGGCATATTCAAGGGTGCATTGGGAGGAATGTGAACGGGGTATTAAAGGTTTCCACTGGTCTGGAGTTGGTAATTGAGTGTAGATGCCTACGGCGGCCGCAGTTTCCCAGTCGCCGAGAGCTTCAAAGATCATTGATAATATTTCGGAAGGAAGAGCAGTCTGGGTTGGAGTCGGATGTGTAATTGTTGTCTGTGAGGAGAAGCTGTCGCTTGATTGAAGGTTCATGCTGGGAGGTATCATCCCGTTTTGTTTCTCATTCAGTCCGTTTTCCTTCCCAGGGATCTCAATTTCTTGTGAAGGGGTGTTTCTACCATCTACACCTGTTCCCACAGACCATCCCAGAGCCTTTTTTATCTCATCGTAAAACGACTCTCTCCCATCCCACGGTAGCTCGGCGAGGCGATCAGGAGCTTCAAACTTGGAGAGAATAGGCGGCAGCACTTTGACCCATGGCCAAAAGACTTGGATATCGTCCAGATGCCTCCGCGTGATAGGCGCAACCCACTGGCGGGTGGTCATCCCTGGAACAAGAATAATAGACTTAGAAACATCCCAGCCTCGCAACAGCGTCAGTGTAAGGCTCGTAGTTAATCCACAAACCATTGACCCAAGCGTTCCGGCATCCATGGGACTTATAATCAACAAGTCTGCCCAGTCCGCAAGGTTTGCAGCTGTCATATTAAACTGGCCCCGCAACGTTTGACTGGTGGTGTCTGTAACTCGCTGCGGTGTGTCCTCGTAGCATTCCACATTGTCCATTTCCTTTTGTCCAACACCCAAGCCCTCCAGAACGATTAATCGAAGTTCGACGTCGGGATCTCGATATAGCGAGCGAACAATCGTGTCGGCGAACGGTGTGCTAGTTGCTAATATGACCCGCTTAGTGTGCGTATCAGTCCTTCCGAGCGAATTTATGCCTTTCTGCCCGTCCATCAGGCTGTCTTCGAGACGAGTACCGCCCGCACGCTTCTCGCCGTGGCAAGGATCCGCATCTCGAGGGCTGGTGTTGATATGAGCAGGGCTCATAATTTCGAACTTCGGTGTAGGCTTGGAGTCTAGGCGCTCTCCATCCAGCATTTGTTTGACCCCGACAGCCATCTGCATGGGATTTTTTGAGTGGGCGTTGACGTTGTTAAATCTCGAGAGACCGGGAGTCCAGATCGCTACTTATTATTGGCCAGGGAGGTGATAGCAAAATGGCTGGTTATAAATAGCGAATTAACCGCCGAGAAGCTGCAGAAGAGCCAGAGACGTGGTGATAGCTATTTGTAATTCGTTTCCTGGGCTTACCGACTCTCTCCTCTATCTCTTCGCATCCGCTGCAGGGGTTACGCATGGATGCCCAAGTCGCATTCCAAGGACATGGAGACAAGGGCTCGGTACCGTCTGGCAACGGAGGAGATAGGGGCTATTCTGAGATTTTTCCGTGTCCCAAGAAAGCCTAGAAATTGACAGGCAAGGTTAATGTATATATGCGAAATAGCGACTTTGAGGCTGTTCGTCGTTTGCCGCCATAGACGAGCGGTAAAAACACAGTCGCGGCGGGCAAGGTGGCATGAAAGAAAAGGTCGAGGACAGCGATCACCTACCTCTATCACTGGAGTTTGGCCTTTGTTATAGGATATAACTGGTCGGTCAAAAGGGCTTGACGAGTGTTCAAAGGCGGCTGAGGTTGAACATTCAGTCGTTGTTTGTTCAGATAAATTAACTACGGGGAATGGACTTAAGGAAGTTTATTTCCGGGCGGGTTAAAAGATTTGCTCTAGTTGCCACCAAAAAGCACAGCCGGTGCTATGTGATATGGAGAAAAAAGGGGATGTTATATAATGAATCCAAAGTCCTCTATATGTAGATCTACCATCCAGATACTCTATTTAATCCTTTCTGGCCAGGTTCATATGCAGCTTGTGCTCTCTCATGGCCAAACTTGCCAGGGCGCCCATGGCAGCCAGTCCCAGTGCAGTCAAGAAGGCTGCTTGGAGTGAGCCCATGTAGCAGTCGCGAACAATCGCAGCTATGTTGGGAGGGAGGTTGCGAATCTCCCCGAACCGCTCTGTGACTTTCCGGATAATCTTTTCAGCATCGCCAAAGTGTCCAAGACGAGACCAGAGGCCTGATCGGAGAAGATTTTGGAACACGGCCGAAGCGACAGATATACCGATCGAACTGCCAGTGCTGCGGAAGGCGTAAGAGGCAGAAGTAACTACGGCCTGATGTTCATGGTCCACGGCAGCAATGATGGCCACAAGAGTGGAGGTAAGCATGCCGCCGTATCCTAAGCCTGATATAAACAGGTAGATAAAAGGCGGAACAGCCGGCGTTGCGAGATCGACGGTGCATATCAATCCTATTCCGATGACAATCAAGACGACGGAGCCGTAGTTGAAGTAGAGGTAGCGCCCAGTCATCCGCATCAGGTATCCGGATCCTAGGGAGCCGACGGAGGTACCAAAGGCCTGTGCAACCAAGCGAGTTCCAGCCAATGTAGTGGTGTAGCCCTGTACTTGGAGGAAGACGGGTATATAGATAAAGAGGGCGAATACAGCCATTGTGACAAACCAGTTGGTCAAGCAGCAGGATAGAACAGTGCGGTCCATAAGGAGGCGGATAGGGATAATCGGCTCAGCCGCAACTCTATCTTCGATGTAGATAAAGGCAATGAGCAGCACAACCGAGAGCGGAATTGTTGTGAGCACCAAGGGGTGCGTCCATGCCACCTGATTCCCGCCAGAGTTAAGTCCAAGTAAGAAGAGAACGAGGGCGCAGACTAATGTCCCAGCACCGAGGAAGTCAATTCTCTTCCACCGAGAGGTGTCCGTCACTCTGACGGGTACATTGACATATATCGACACTAGGATAGCGGAGACAGCAACAAAGGGCACCTGGATAAGGAATGCCCACCGCCACCCCCAGTTGTCATTCACATATCCACCGAATATACCACCGAGACCACTCCCAATTCCAAAACAAATGTTTCCAATGCCTTGCCAGATACCTCGCTTGCGCAGAGGTACGAGGTCAGAGGTAAGGAATGTAGATATGGCCGTCAGCCCTCCTCCGCCCATTCCGGCGATGGTCCGTCCAAAGATCATGACCCATTCTTCTGTAGCAAGGCCACAAATCAGATTACCAACTCCAAAGAGAATGTTGGATATAACTAGGCCTGTTCGGCGAGAAAAGATGTCGGTGAGCTTGCCACTGATCGGCTGACAGGCAGAGCTCGAGACCAGGTACGCCGTGGCAAGCCATGATATCAGTGACAGTGAATTGAACGAGGAAGATATCTGAGCCGAGATAGTCGCAACAATCGTGCCATCTTCAAAGATGCGATCAGTCTAGTTAGTCCGCAAATCTTTGATAACTCCTTTTTTTAAAAGACTTATGATCCATAGAGGCGACATACCAAGAGCTGCAAAAAACACACCGACCCAGGTACTCATCAGTATAGTCAAGAGCTCACCGAAGCTGGCTTCCTCTATCAGAGGGAGGTCGGTAACATTCGCTTCACTTTCACCCGAAGAAACCCCATTCTCTGCAGTCGCTCTGTCACCCAGCAATGGTGAGGTTTCTGATGGAGGAGGATGGGTAACATCCTGATCCTGAGCGCCAGTCGCCATCCTCACCGTCTCGCAAGCAAATGCGATAGGACCGATCCTGCCTCTTGTTTTTGCCTGTTCTTAGACGGTGAGAATTGCCATCTCGGCTAGGTGTTGTCCTGACACTTTCAGCCCGGAAAACTGTGGGGTGAAGATGTGTTGAGGGCTGTACGGACCGGGGACAGCTCCGCGTATCAGGAAAAAGCAAACTTGGCCCTGATTATGGGCCGATCTCCAGCGAATTTGGCTCTGGCGCAGCTTTCGTCGCCTATCTAACTCTAGGAAGAGTACGGAATAAATGATAGCTTCAGTTTAGCCGGCTGTGATCATCTTTCCTCTCCTCTCTACGGGGGACTCTGCGGTCACTCACCTTGTACGTAGATTGCCTCTGCTTGCACGGCTCCCACCCATCCACCTCTACTGTGGTCCGCCGGTAACAATTCTCCCGAAGCAACATAACCTTACCCGGTAAAGAGCAGATTTACCTTCCGCACTGCTTATCCGTAAATAGACAGACCATATCCTGTAAACCAGGGCTGCTGCCTCTGATACCCAGAAGCAGTGGGACTGTACGAGCATCCTGACCGCCTGGTGCAACCTGTCTCACTCTTCTCGAACACCTGCAAGAGCCACGCTGCTGCAAATTAACCACCGCGGGCACCACAGAATCTGCCCAGCTGCAGCGTTCCATCGACTTCCATCCTTCAACTGTCAAGAGCAGCGTTGACTCTAATAATAATAATAATATCGAATCCATCCTTATGCTGAGCAATACCGATTATGTAGATTATGTAAGTAAATATTAGTCATCCGGGAATCGGCATTTGAAACTCCGAACAAGCGACCACATGACCTCCACGTGACTGAATAAGGCTGAAAAAAGGCAGACAATTGAGAGAATCGACAACATCAACGGCCAGACAGCGCAGTCGAGGGGATGCGCCGCTGCGGATAAACAGTCAGAAACAGTCAGTCTGTCCAGCTTCCTTCTGGTCGAGATGTAACCTGACGGGCGCAGACGAAATGCCCTCAGCCGACAACCAGTGCAGCAGAGGATGGGTCAGGGAAAGAGACTGAGACATCTGCACGCTAGCAAGACAAAGCCTGCTTAATATAGAGCATCGAACGATGCAGATCCATACCTGTGCCGATCGTATCACAGAATGAGCGCAAGCTCCTCTCATCTCCATCGAAAGCCCGCAGCTACCGTGTCACTGGATTTGGAGCTTGCTTATTTGCTTTTCCCTCCAGCTCTTGCACAACGCGAGCCCCCCGCTGCAAAGATGACTGACAATGCTACCTTGGCTGAAGGAGGAGATGGCTCACGGTTATGCTTCTACTGGGGCTTTGCTGCGACATGATGGATTCATGTCTCTCTTCCTCCGCGACGAGCATGCACGCCGCAAGCATGTACCCTGTGGTGGTGGTACCCGCCGCTTTTCTACATGAGTATACGGGACAATGGAACACACTCGATGACAGCATACAAAGTCCTTTTGTATGTAAAGGTGTCTCACCTGATTTGTGAACACCTTGTACATGCTTCCTGATTGTAAATGTTTCATAATTTACTCCATACATGTTGCTTTCCATTGCTCTGCCCCGCATCGAAAGCCTTCGGGAACCACGGGCTGAAGCGGCCGTGCATCGAAGAGCTCCCAGAATGTAACCTGCAGGCTCGCAGGGCATGAAGGCGTTCGCTGGTAGCTTCCAGCCATGGATCCCTCAATGCAGATCATTTTGCATATGCGAGGTAGCTGCCTCCAAAGACAACGGAGTCTTTGAAATGCTGTGTTCAACCCTCAGTGCGATTGCCAACATAGCTGTGAAGAAAAGTTATATAAACCCCGGGTAGGTAACCACCGTCTCGAGCTTTTCTCCTCTTCTCTCCATCAGAAAACACAGCTCCAGGAAGAACAAAGACAAGTCGCAATCAATCTACCTCTACCAACCCAACCTTTACAAACAAACCTACTTCTCGAACAAACCCAAGTTCAAACCAGTCCACCAACCATTATGAAGTTCACTATCCCAGCTACTCTCGGCCTCATGGCTTCTCTCTCCTCTGCTGCTGCCATCAGCGGCACCGTTTCCCTCTCCTACGACCCAAAGTACGACAATGCCGGTCTCAGTCTTACTCAGGTAACCTGCTCTGATGGCACCAACGGCCTCATCACTAAGGGTTTCACCACCGCCGGTTCTCTCCCCAACTTCCCCAACATTGGTGGCTCCTTCGCCGTTGAGGGATACAACAGCGTCAACTGCGGCAAGTGCTTCAAGGTCACTTGGCCTGTCCTCAACAAATCTATCTTCGTTACCTCCGTCGACAAGGCCGATGGCTTCAACGTCGCCAAGGCTGCCATGGACACTCTTACCAACAACCAGGCCGCACACCTTGGGAGAATCGACGTCACCTACGAGGATGCTCTGCCAACCGACTGTGGATTCAGGGCTTAGAAGCTTAGCAGCCGATGTGTCTCTGTTGTGAAAGAATATGTTTACCGATGATGAAGGCTAGAAGGCCTCCGGGATAATGTCACTCCTTAATAATATTAAATACCTGATTATGTTATAGACTAGACTTATTCAACGCTCCTTGACCAACTTTTATCTCTTTCTTCAGTCTTTATTGTAGATGTCTTTTAGTCTAACTTCTAGAAAAGCAACATGCTAATGGTGTCAACTGCGGAGTATAGCAATTGCTAGCTTTGAAACTAAAATAAAGCCACCATATAGTTAACGCTATTTCCCGCTCTCTTTTGGTTTGGAAACATCTGACCATATTATTCAACAGGATTGCTGATAGCGTAATGCATCCCAATCCCGGGTTATTACCTCGAACGAGCCTTGGGCTTTTTAATACCAGCATTAAGTTTGCTGCCGCCGGCCTTGTTATTTAGTGCCAATGATATAACGACTTTCCCTGCAGCCAATTAGTTAGGGGCCTCCCCTTTTTGATCCAGTGGTTTGATATTTAGTGTCCTAGTTACGAAATGCAAATGGGACAAAACAAGTGCACCTCCAACCTGGAGATGATAGATAGTCTAGTTAACTCCCGGTCTAACTAGCTGGATCATCAGGTGTATAAAAGTTTGAATATCGTTTGAATATCGCATAGAAATGTATTGGATAATGGCTATTTCGCCAGCAGCTAGGTAAGCAGATACAATTCCAGTCGCTCACACATGGATTTCCTAACTCCGTATCTCATGGAACTTAAGCAATGACTCCATCCCACAACCAACAATATTCCTTGTTCCGCACATATTAGGGAGCCGGCTAGCTTTAAAGTGCTTGGAGCCTTCAAATAGCGTATCTCGTACGGAGGTAAGGTAGTTATGCGTTTATCTCAATATTGTACCCTGGAATTACCCACATTAGCCAACAATCGAAATACTCGCCTCTTCGGGATCCTTACATTCATTTCCCCCCGCGCTTCATTCTGACTACCTTGGTATAAATCTTCGGGCGAAGATTGTTTCATAGATTGAAGCAGATGGACAAATCCTGCTACCACGGCGTAGCCAAACACGAAGAGAGCAAGGTTGTTTAGAGGGCTGATTTTGCTCAAAAGCTCGAACATAGCTGCTGACAGGTTGACTTTTTTGTATTGGACGGTGATATCTGTGCTATGTATGGTGGGTCCTGTTTATGGTTTACTTCCATATTACTTACCCCCAAGGCTGATGGCTGAGTATTTATATTGATCTCCAGATCTATACAACTCAAGTTGTCGCAAAATTTCATGTGAATCTGTATTTGCATATTACTCTTCTCAATCCTGTCAAAACGCATACATTGTACTAATGGTTTAAAAGGCATTACAAATCACCACAGAAGGCCAATTAACAGGGCTTCTACCAGGCTTTAGAGCACAGACGAGGCTGGATGGCCCTGCTATTGGGTCCAGCCTCACTGCATGGACAAGGGTAGGCTCTTAGCAGAAGAGTTGAGGTCGGGTTGCCAAGTAATCTGCTATTTTGCGTACTCTTTAATGGGGTATAGGAGCTCATTTAAAAGGAAATAGTCAAGGCTTGGTTCTTAACCGCATCTTAAGTCGGTCTATGTTCACCATTTAGCCGGGATATAGAACTATTTGGTGACGGTAAAGGGGGTCTCATCTCTCAGTGTCAAGGTGAGGCATACTTCGATGACGGTAGAATCCCATCATATTTGCAGCCCAACACCGTGGATATATGTATAGTTATATATTTCGTTATGTACTAACTCAACATTAAACAAAGGAGTATTCTTTTCTATATTTTGAAATGGGAATAAAACAAATGCACTCTATACAAAGAAAAGAATTATAAGCAGACGGAGAAAGGGGGAATTATTAGGTTAACCGCTTGTGATCAACACATCTATGCGGTGAGACGGCGAGACTTCAGGAATTCATAATCGGGCATGGCTTCCTTAACCCACTTGTATATCTTAGCTCCATCGATCTCACCGAACTCAGCCTTCCACTTGGGAGCTTCAGCTTCGATATCGATGTTGGCAGCAAGCTTGTCCTTCATGATACCGTTCGAGGCGTTGAGAGAAGACAGCATACGCTTAGCCATGGGGTCGTACTTCTTAGACTGCTCTTCGCTGACGGGGTCCCAAGTGAACTTCAGGTGGTTGCGGTCCAACCCGATAATATCAGCCAGCTTTTGAACAACAGTTTCATCGGCCATGACATCATCTGCATCGATGACGATGGGCCAGGGTTGGGTGGTGGAAGATGATCCAGCCTGCTGGAACTTTTCGCTGTACCAGTCAAACATGGAGCGAATGTTGTGCAGGCTCATGTAAATGGGTAGATCAGGCTTTCCAACCTCAAGGGAGTCGGTGTTGCCGATATCTTCCTTCTTCATCTTTCTGAAGTCATCCATGCATCGGTAGAAGGATGGGAACATGAGAGCGGGGTGGCGGATGAGGAAGACTGGCTTCCAGGTAAGGAGGAATTCATCAGAGAAGATAGTTTGGTTTCCTGGGCTACGAACAATTTCGGATCCCTGGGGGACGTCGATGGTAAGTGGTGCCTCTTTAACGTCGTTGGTCTTGAACATAAATTTGGTCTGGCTGCTGGGCTCGAGGAGAATGTTGGCGTGCTCCTTGACGACAGAGATTCTGCCGGCAGCCTTTGACTCGGTAACATCCTTCATCATTTCATCATATCCTTTGTTGTACATGGCACGGGCCTGGGTTTTTTCCTCTTCGGTCCACTCGTCGACATGCTTAGCTCGGAGACCCTTTTCCCCAAGGAACATGAGGGTCTCCAGGAAGTAGTAGCCAGCATGCGGGCGAGCCTTGACCATTGGCTGCTCTTCCAATCCCAGAATCTGGACAAGCAAATTAGAAGCAGAGCGAGGGTGGGTAATAAGATAGACGCGCTCCATTGTTGGATATTTCGGAATGTTCGGTATTCAAAGTGGATATATACTTGAAGAGGCCGTAAACCGTGATAGATCGCAGGATAAATCTGCCGGGTGTATGGAAGTAGTGAAGGAATATGAGCTATAGGGGAGATAGACGGCGGGAGACAGGCGGATTTTATAACCACCTGCAGGCCTTCGCCAGCTCAAAACCCCCGCTGATAGTTTCAACCAGATGGCCCGTTTGCTGCCTGCAAAGTCAAGAATGTAGACCCAGGGCGGGAACTTCGAGTCTCCGTGGATCCGACGCCTTCCGGCTATTTCAAAAGTTCTCGGTCAAATCTACCTCCGTTATAGGTGCCTTGGCCATATCTCCTTGTGTACAAGGAGTGTTATAGACCGAAAATGCTTCAATGGTGGCAGTCAGCATTCTCCCCAATGGAAACTTTTGAGAATGCAAGCCTCCCATTAAAACTCCCGGGAGCCTTGCGTTCTGGTAGGAGGTCAACTGCAGCCACGAAGAGGCTGCTGATTAGTTTCGTGGGTCATGTAGTTACTGCGAACGGAGCTTTTACTCCGCGGCTTCAAGGACATGAAGCGAGGACCTCGTATGTAATGGCATTAAGCCCCGGAATTCTCCAATACCGATGGGAGTAATGCAAACCATGCTACCAACGTTGCCCATAATGAGACAAATTGTTGTGGCCGCCTTGTGAGAGCACGAGAGTAATACCTGGAACGGGAGCATTTCAAGGAGCCCGATGGCCCGGAATGTCGGCTTTCGGCAAAACCTCGCTTCCGCGGCTCCGCTTCTTGGCACAGATCACCCGGAGTTAGCCAGTAGAATGTGATGAGTTTGAGCCGAGTTGTCCAATAAAACCCTCAGAATACAAAATAAAGTCACGGCTGCGGGTGGGACTGGGTCTTGGCAGGGATGGGACAACCCGCCCAGGCGCAGCCAACATCACGTGCGCGTATCAGAAAGTGACCACCAGGAGTCGGAGCGTTTTCAAGGATAGAATACTGAGCGTGAGACAAGAGGATATATTGTTAATATCGCTTATAAACATCATCCCCCGCTGATGTTGAGATGTAGCGATATTGGGCCTGCTGTGAATACGGTGGTCTCTTCGCTTGAGCCTGGGCCGCGACTCTGGCATCCTGAGCTTTCCTGACATGTTTTTTTTTTTTTTTCTTTTTTTTAGCCTAGACCCGTGAACAGGAGAGCGGAGTAAAGAACGCTCCAAAACTGTTAGACTAGAACTCAACTGGGAGACTTGCCTTTGTTTAGTTTATTCTGTTGCACGAAACATGGAAATGGAAGGAGAACATCCATGGTCATCCTTTCCTGGGGTTGACAATGCTTTGCCTCCTGGCGAAAGCCAACAGTCGATTCAGGCTGCTACCTTACAGCTGATAGCAAGGATATGCACAGATTATACCTACTATCATGGAGCTGATAACTATTCCATTCAGCGAGGTGCAGACTGCGCTGCAAGAAGCAAAGGAGGCTTGGGCAGACACAGACAAATTCAATACCCACGGCCATTCGTTCGAAGATATTAACGCGCTGGTACCGGAGACACAAGACCTCAAGCATATCAAGCCAGGCCTCTTCTCAACATTATACCAACATTGGGTGCCGTTGATAATGTCTAGCCAAGGCGCAGAGGAATGGCACACTTTCGAGCTACCTCGCTACCTGGCCTTTGAGACGACAGAAATGTATCAAGTCTGGATCGCAAGGGCGTCTTCTAGATCGTCTATCTTCAATGGCCTAGTTGAAATGTTTCCAAAGCAGTCATCGGCCGGCATGAAGACCGAAGAACTATTTGGTCGTCATCAGAAATGGTTCCTCCGACTAGACAGCTGCAGTACCAAGGACGGTGAGAACGGCATGAAACCCATTACAAGCGTACACGATCTTATTAGACAGCTGTGTACTTCTATGAGAGGAAGACGGGCCATTTTAGATACCCTCGAGGACGGCGTGAGCAAGCCTGTGGTTTATCTCATTCCGTATAACGAGCAGATGGACCCCTCGCGCGAGTTTCGAGTCTTCTGTCCACCACCGGGAAGTGGAATTGCTGCCATATCACAATATAGGTGGACAAGCCCGTTTGCAGTCAACAACATGGAAGATGCAGTCAGGGTGGCCAATCGGGTGCGCCTTGACTCCCTGCAGATTCACAGTAGGATTATGGAGACCGCACGCCAGCTGCCAGATGTGCTTGTACACGAGATGATGGAGCGGGAGGGCTTTACCTTTGATGTTTTGAGCGTGCCTGATGGATCAACGCAGCTAGTTGAAATTAATCCCTTTGGCGCTATGAGTGGCTGCGGTAGTTGTTTATTCCACTGGCTGAGGGACTCGAAGAGTTTGTATGGATTGACAAGCAACATTCCAGTCAAGATGGTCTTACCGGACAGCCTGCTAGATGCTAATACCCACTAGTTGAAGACTACGCCTTCTTCAACGGATACATCTCCAGCAACAGAGAGACGGCCAATTTATCCCTTTATCCGACAACCAAGCATTCTCCGTTTCTCCACAGACTCCGTTCTCCATGTTGATTATAAATGGAGATGAAGTTAATCAACATTTGATACAATGGCTGTCACGACATCCAAACGGTAGATGCCTCATGCCTCTGTAGCAATGTAAACACCCCGTCAAAGAAAAGTAGAAACGGATATAAAATAAACAAAACTAGGCAGAATCCGTATAAGAAGCCCCTTAAGGTTCAAAGGGCGGATCACGTGGCATGGTGTTTATTATGGCCCGTGCTCGGCGTTTCACCTTTTTCTTTGCCGCGTTTTTTCTCGCTTGAGACGTTGAGAAACAACGGACGAACAAGGCGTTGAAGATCAGCTTCGACTTCAGGCGCGCGACTAGCTCAGGACTACGCCTTGCACCATTGCAGACTCGTTGCCAACCGGCAGAAGTATCTTGTCTACTCGAAGGGAGCTATTCGCGTCAACGTCTACTCGCCGTTATAGATCTATCAGGGCAGCCCCTTAAACCGGACCAAGCCCGTTCAAGATGCCAGGTGTCCGTAAGTATCTTGATGATCAAGCAGATGCCCTGGAAAGGTCTTTGCAAGAGGACAGAACTAACCCCTAGCAGCCCCAGATGCGCTCAACCAGCTGAAGAAGGGCTTGAGGAACTTCCTTGGCCGTCTCAAGAACAAGAAGCAGAACCAGGAAGCTACTGCACCTACCACGACTGCCCCCGAGGACAAGAAGACAGAAGAGACGCCTGCAGCTCCAGCTCCAGGTGCTGCTCCAGCCCCAGCCCCTACTGAAGGAACTGCTGCTCAGCAGACTCCAGCACCAGAGGTCACCAAGGCCCCTGAGACTGCCCCCCCAGAGTCAAAGCCAGAGGGAGCCCAGGAGGAACCCTCAACAACTGAAGATGGTATGCATATGTATACACATGCAGGTGAAAGACCTAGCTGAACACTTTTTTGGCTAACACCGACATAGCAAACAAGGACAAGGTCACCCCTGAGACACCGGCACCAGAGCCTGCATCGACTGCACCTGCACCAGCTACCACTGAGGCCGAGGTAGAGAAGAAGGCGGTAGAGACTCCGGCTGCCCCTGATACTACCACCACCGCCCCAGCTCCAGCCCCAGCTCCGGCTCCCGCCCCCGAAGCCGAGAAGCCCGCTGAGCCAACTCCCACCACCACAGACGCAACCAAGGCCGCGGAACCCACCCCAGTTCCTGTCCCAGAGGCTACCGAGGAGGTCAAGCCAACTGAAACAGCCGCTCCTACCACCGAAGCTGCCGCCGCCAAGTAAGCTTGGACGGTTTTCTTCGCGAGCAATAACGGTCTTTCCGAATAGAGCCTAACGTTCAGTATGACTTCTCTTTAACCGTATGGTCATAATATGAGGTTTTGGAGGCTTTGATATCGGCCAAAGCAACGAGGTGGGCTTTTAATTACTTTTGGGATACCCCTGTGATTGTTTTATTTTTCCTGTTTCTCTTTTTTTTCTTCTCTCCTAATATATTATATCGTTAATATGACGTTTAGTACAGTTGATATATCAGCGAGGTGTGACTATACGGCTTGCCTTGGTTTATATAGTTAATATATCATATTCAGACAGTATTAGCTGTAGCTGTCGCTCACGACTTATCAATCGTCTCCCCAGCGGTAGTAGCGGTATCAGAAGCCGCTAGGGCCGTAGGCTCAACCTCTCCTGTAGCGGCTCTGGCCGCAGCTTTCTTCTCTCTCTCCTTCTGCCTCCTCTTTACCTTTCTCTCCCGGTTTTTCCGATTCCGTTTTTCCTTCTCAGTTTCTTCGGCCATCTTTTTAATGACAACCCACTTTCGTAGTGCTATCCGTCTCTTCTTCCCGGGCTTCTTCTTTTTCTTGGATAAAGAAGATTCCGACTTGGTAGAAGGCGTCATACTCGAAGCCAACTTTACCTTTGGTCCTCGGATATGTACGACTCTCCATGGAAGATGGCAACCAGGCTAAGCGCTGTTAGTAAAACCTGTAGGGGAGAGATTCGAAAAGCCAAAAAAGGGTACATACCCAAGCCATCGAAGCAGCACGGGCAAGGATAGTCTTCCCGTCTACGGCTGTATCTCTAAATGTATCTCTCAACGCATCAAGTTGCTTCGATGTATTTTCGTCCTTGGCTCCTCTCTGCCCCGAGGTGTCCCCCACGGCTCGCATAACCAGCTCCGGATTGGAAAAGTAGTAGTCCCATCCTCGAAACGGCACGACGAAGCCACCATCTCCCGGCGGACGTGCTGACGGCGAAGGAGACCGTAACCGTATCTTTAATTTTTGGACTCCCCCCAAACCGCTGCCGTCGTGTCCCTCTGTCCTGGATTGAGATTCGTCCGCGGTCTTCCTGGCAGACACAGAGCTGAAGAGCCGGAACTCAAACTCATGTTCTTCCTCTTCCGCATCTTCGCCCATCCTGGCGTCCTGTTCCAATCCCTCAGAGGCAGTGGGCAGCTTCGAATTGACCGTCTCAAAGGACGAAAAGGCCTTCTCCAGCGCCGTGGCGGCATACGTAGCAGCCGAACTCTCAGGCGACGAAGCCCGAGACGACTCGGGCGACTTCAAATCATCACGGCAGACCCTAGAACACTAGTTAGAAGCGCTGCAATCTGCTTAACTGCGTGCGTGCGTACGCCTGCAAAAGCTGTGCGACAAGGGCATTTAACTACCGTTTGGCACTTGGTAACGCGAACATGGTGCGTTTCGCTGCTTTTCTTCCTTGATTTCGGGGCTGCTAGCAGGGTCGCCGTCCTCGACTGAGCGGACCCTGGGCCTGCTTCAGCGCTGTCTTCCTCTTATCCTGCCGCTGCAAGTCAGGATGTGTTCTTCAACCGTCGCGAGTCTCACTGCATGGTGAAGATAACGCTGCAAGTGCCGGGGGCTGATTGGTCAGCAGCGACTTGCCAGCGCAACTTTCGGCTGCAAGGAAGAAGCAGAGCAGAAGAAAAACAAAGTCGCTGCAGGCGAAGACGAAGACGAAGGGATGATGGAATAGCTAATAATAAAGAAACAAGCCGCTGTTTCTCTGCTCCCCCGCTAGCTGCCCGATGCTTGTGTTTCTTGGTCGCTCAATGGGCTTCTCCTCAGGCCTATTGCCCGGCTGCCGCTGTTCGTGAAGACCACCCTCCCTCGACTTTGACATCAACATTGAACGGCCCAACTCTGGTCGCTACCTATCGCTCGCTACCGTCTTATATACCTGCGCAGTACTTCTGTCATACCTTTGCCGATGGGTGTCTGTTTGTCGTGCCTGCATGGGCAGGAGAGGACGGAGGTAGGTCATCTGCCCGCTGGTGGCTGGGGCGTATCGTAGGAGAGCGTTTACTGACTGATACCCCGTCGCATTGCGATATATCACAGTCCGAGTCCTCGCGTTTGCTAGATGAAGACATATATCAGGCCGGATTTAACTACGGGACTGTCCAGGGCCCTCCACCGGGCCCAGAGCTTGAGACGTTGAAGCGCGAGAGGGAGGCTCTCGAGGCCATCTGCCAGCGAGCGTCAGAGTAAGTGGCTCCACTCGACAAGAAGACCGGACATAGTATAACTAACAGGGCAACCCAACTTCTAGTTCTGTCGTTGATATCTGGGCCATCCAGTCTCAGCCATTCGTGCCCTCGGCTCAGAGCAGTGCTCAAGCGTCCCGAATCCCAAGCTCAGAAGCAACCATCACCCAGGCTACCTTCAAAGCCGATACATATAATTCGACTCAGTCCCCTCCCAGAGCATCTCAGAGATCTCAGTCTTCACAGCAATCTTCATCCCCTATGCCCGGCGAATTCGCGGGGATGCGATATGTGTCATACCGAAACCCAGACTACCCTCATAACGTCAACCTTTCTGCTGTGCCCAAACACTGGGGTGAGGTCGTGATGAGCACGAGAAAAGGAAAGAAGACCAGACCCGCCTTGAATATGGACGACAGCCAAAAGGACGAGGTAGACGTCTTTGGCGTGTTAAAGGTCAAATGATTCGTGCATACTTGGCCCACGATATAATCACCTTCTTTTATAAATTTACCACTATCACCATCACGATCCACAGGACGTCTCTCCAATCCTCTCTTGGTTTTCATGACGTCCAACATATGACTTTCCGTTCATACATACGTACACTACCCGGCAAGCCGCTTTTCGCTTTTCTTTCTAGATATTCTTATCTCGTCACACAACCTTGCCTTTTCCTTTCTAGTTGATATTACTTCTACTTTCCTTCGCGTCTTATTTCCTACTTCTAGAACTTTTTTTTGTTTCTCCTTTTTTATTGCATTGAAAACACAAGGATGGCAAGCTGGATATCTACCTCCCCCGCATCATCTTACTCCTCTACCCGGCGCCAGTGCAACCTGACTGGTTCCCAAAATTAGTCAAATTCCAACACGATTTCCTTTCCCTCTCCTCCCATTTTCATCCCTTGTTCTTGGGCTTTGAAAAACACTGTTCGGCGAAGTGAATGGGCTCTGCTAAATCCGCAGGCGTCCAGGTATGTATGATAGATTAGCCCCCCTTTTGTTCCGAAATTAAAAAAATAATAAACCGTTCAAAAGGAATTTCTCCGAGAAAGCATAGCAGAACACATTTATCATTACTCTTTAAGCACGACATAGTTACGGTGGCTATCAAATGGACATCTCGCTGGTTATACTTTATCAGCGAAGATCTCTCCGACTATAAACTAATGACGACAGCGGCGCTGAGATCGGCATCAGGGTTTCACCCAGATGGCTGAATAGCTTGTTGACCATTATAGTTGCTCGGGTATACCTTCAGCTCAACCGTCGCATACGGTCTGAAGGATGCATCCTGGTAGCCTTTCTATCGGCAATGATGCTCCGACGCAGTAGGCTGTCCCATCTCAGGGGTTATTCAACGTCTATATAACTGCACTGTCCTCTAAATATTTCAGGCAAAAATTATATCCTTATCCCTATCTGATACCTGTGAAGCATCATGAAGCGATTCCTATCCATATTATCGAGTCTTACCGTATATCCACTCCTGGCATTTGCCACGATACCAGAGACCGAAGTCCCAGGGACGCTGAACATAACTGCACTGACAGGAGAGAACGGCCAATCAGCGCTAGAATGCTGGCAACTTGAGCGCAGATTCGACGTCTCAGATGATCCAGGTACTAAGGGCACTGCAGTCCTACCCCTAGACGGTCTCAGGGGGGAAGCAAAGTACTCTGTCCTTCCACCGAATTTTAATGGTGGCTTACACAACGCTCCTGTTGCACAGTAAGTTATGCCATACTATAATTACATTGTTAGGGAAAGGCTGTTAAGATGTCTTCTAGATGGGTGATATATGTCTCTGGTGTGGCGCATATAACGCTTCCTAACAGGACGGAAGAAACATGGATACGGGGAGGTGCTAATGGAGCCATCATTGCTGCGGATACGGCGGATGCCAGTGAAAGGGGCCATTTCACCGTGTATCCGAGTAATATACAGACTATTGCATGGCAGCTTCCATTCAAGGATGGGGCTCTGCCTAAACATCGGGTGTTACACCGCGGAGCGTGTAAGCGGGATGAAAGCTGGAGTTGATATCACGGTGTCGTTCAGAATCTATGTGTTATATGTATATATATGCCTCAAGGCCTGGACGATATAGTATGGATATAGGGGAGATACAAGATTCTAATGAAATAGACTAGTTGAATAGTAGCAATAAGGACAGCTGGAAGTCAACAAGGAGGCAGAATCAAAGAAGTAGAGACAAGCTTCACAGTCCGGCTTTGATCTGTCGCCCTTGGCTCCATGAACAAAAGAAAACAGACAAAAGAAATCCGAGCACCATACACGCAATGCTCCCAGCGAAGAGGCTCAACAGGCAATAGAACTCCATTTCAGAGTCGATGTGAATACCGCTAAAACGCCAAGTTATACTTGATATATCCAAAGGGGAAAACCGGACTGAGGGGAAGAAGAGATGGGAAGACAATATACGCCGAAGGGTGTGCTCAGACATCGTCCATCTCACCAGCTGGCTCTTCGCCGCCAGACTCGTAGCTACCCACCGAACTCATCTCGCCATCATCCTCTGTGTCTTCACCAGCATCATCCGCAGCGTCTTTGCTGGCATACTTGGTGACGTATTCTTAAGAGATTGTGTGATTAGTATCTTCAACTAGTTGAAAGCAAGCATTTACTCTAGAGCCAAAACTTACCCCTAACTTTGGCATCGTATTTCTTGGGATCACGCAAGAGCACAGCAGCAGCATCACCGTTCAATGGATCTGATGGGTTGGGGTATCGAAGTAACTGTGGGAGAAAGACCTCAAATATGTTTATCATGTCGTACATCGGGGACCAGGTTTGGTTGATAACGTCCAGACACACTGATCCAGACCTAAAGCGCATGTTAGCAAATACCAGATAGTACAGAACGGTAATCTTACAGTTCATCAATATTCGGGTGGTAGATCCGGTTTACGAAGCCAATGCTCGGGCTTTTGTACGGGTATTGGTCAGGCAGTTCGACGTGCACTTTCCAAATCCCACCGGCAAACGGAGCTATTATTCGTAAGCAGCAAGAAATAAAATCATATCGTTATCCGTTTTGGAGAACGTACTCTCTTCCGGCCCTTTGAATCGTACGTAGAACTCTTGCCTAAAGCATTCTCGGCGGTTAGATATCAATTTCACCAGTGTCCAAACTATGGCTAACGGGGAATATCACGAACACTAAATAATAGAAGAGAAAGATTAACTTCCACGGTCTTATTTAAAGGTCTCTTGAATATAACTTACTGTTGTCGTTGACTAATGTGACTTCATAGTCACTCATCAACCTAAATGTTCACATTAGTATCTAG